GAGAATGTTGAAGAGTAGAGACAGAGAATGTTGAAGAGTAGAGAAGGCAGAGAATGTTTATGAATAGAGAAGGAGCAAATGTTAACTGAAAACTTTTTGAGTACTAATTTGTAATTCCACATGAGGGAACATCGAAAAATATAACTTCGAAAAAGAAAAATACACCACACTGTGTGCGAAACGGAGAAAAGGCTATAAATAGACACAACGAATGAATAATCGGTGAGCATACCTATTTAGATTTGTGTTTTCAATTTCAATGATATGACGAAAATTAAAATTGTGAAAAGCCTTTTGAATTAAAAAGGAGGATTACTGTCAAAAACCCCAGAATTCATTATAAAATAACCTTTGATATGTAATTTTTCCAACTTTTGTATGTGCCTTGAGTGAGTAATTGCTTATTGAATAAAGGATAATAATAAAAATGTGGCTAAGCGGTCGCGTTTTCATTTGTATAGTGGCTTATGTCGTAGGCGTGAAGGAGTTAAGCTCATTCCGAATACGAGCATATACGTTCGAATCGTAAAATACATAAAATTGAAATTTAATATAATTTTTTTATTTTATTAATTGGAATCTAAGCATATCATAATTCAACTACTTTAATAGCATATTTTACTTCCTGATATAATTTAAATATTTCAGGAAAATATGTTCATATGTTTAGGTTTATTGAATATTTCCTTATTATGCGTATTTACACAAATGTGATAATCACACATACATTCTTAAAACACGTACGTTGATGCTTGCTTCTTCTTGCCCCGCACAAGCAATGACTTTTGTCTACACTTTTTGCTTTTTGCGAGTTGAACGATCGCAGGCAAGGAGGATTGGGGCGCACTGCCACATAATTAGTTCAGATATATATTTTATTTATCTAACTTATTTTAAAAACGATTATACATAGGTATGAATTTATTGGTATTTATATTTTTACGTATCTATTAATTATATTACGTCAATAAGTCATAATGCATTAGTATTTTTCAATACAAATTAAGCAACATATTAATATATTATGAGCCCTCACTTGACACGCCTCTGTGCATGGTGGCAAGCCAACGAAATAACGGCGAGTTCGCGCGGACATTGTGTTGTTGAAAGTAACCAAATGACGATTTTGTCGACAAACATACATATATACATATGAGCTCGCATACATATTGACGCCGAATTTTGCGCATCGTGGCGGAGTTGACAAAATTTGTTTCAATCAACAATTTTACGACAATGTCGATCGGCTATGTTGTCTCGTTTGTCCTTTTTGCAGTGGTTTGCTGTTGAAAATTGACTTATGCTCTTTTGAAATAGTGCGATTACCGATTAGGCTGCATTTTCATAGCGTCGTATTTAGATAAAATGGGCTAAATCGACAAACTATGAAATAATGATAATAAGTAAACATATAAAAGTACTATATGGACTGTGCTTAGAATATATAGAAGTAATTAATGATTTCATATGAATGTCAATTTGATATAAATTTTATAATTTAATGCCATAAATAGTGCATAATATGCAAAAATATAAATATTATTTAAACTCGCTAAGAGGTCATGTTGCCAATTCTCCTTTTTGAAGTGAACATCAGACAAATTCTTCAATTTCTGATTTTTAGCAAATGTGTGAGACAGCAGCTTGTGGGCAACATACAAATGCGAGGGGAATGGTAGGATCAGTTGTAAAATTGAAACTTCTTCAATTTTACTGAAGACATTCAAATTCAATTTCATTCATTTTTATTCTCGCGCATTTGCGGTAGGAATTCTATATGAAAACCAAATGTGGTTTACCAGGCGCACAGGAAAAATAGCGCGGCGCAGAGTTATGAACGAGCGCACTTTGCTTTGAAGCAGACGCACGTTCCTTATGAATGAATTTGTTGTCGTTGTAATATGAAATACTTAGAAAATATGCCGCGAGTTCGCTTGAATATTATTGGCCGATGATGGTGCGTCTACGTTTTTTTTGTCACTTGCGCGAATGTTTGATTTTTTGCGAAAGACATATTGAGGTACATACATATGTACATATATGCCAATATATTTGGACATGCGAATGAACGAAGGCAATTTCAAGAATATTCACATATAGACATATAAACATTGAAGCAAGTAAACAACAATAGCTGTTTGAGTTCACATATTAGACAAATATGTTCTAATATCATCTGTGGTGCTGCTTGTATAGCACACTTCCTTATTGCAATGAAATGTTTTGCCTAAGTTCAAATCCTATCATATTTTTAGTATATTATACATATTTTATTTTATAACTCTTTTATTAAATGATATTTTAGCTCTATTTAATATTATTTCATTTAACTATATTTTCTTTCATAGTCAATTATTTTCTTTTTATTTTAAGTTTTGTTTAATATATCAAGAATAACTCTGCGCATATGTATTCATAGTATGTATTTGCTTATAGAGTGGTGTGAGTTCGTTTCGTACCTGATAGTTGTGGTGAATTTATTTTAATTTGGTGAAACGCTTCGATGTTCTTCTTAGCAATTAACATTTAGTACTGCTACTTGTAGCGAAATGTTGAGGGCAGAGAATGTTGAAGGTAAGAAGGAGCAAATGTTAATGAAAACTTTTGAGTACTAATTTGTAATTCCACATGAGGAACATCATATAACTTCGAAAAGAAAATACACCACATTGCGAAATGCTATAAATAGACACAACAGATATCAATGAATAATCGGTGGCATACCTATTTAGATTTATGTTTTCAATTTCATGATATGACGAAATTAAATTATGAAAGCCTTTGAATTAAAAATGATTACGGTAAAACCCCAGATTTCATAATAAAATAAACTTTATATTAATTTTCCACTTTGTATGTGCGTTGAGTGAGTAATTGCTTATTAACAAAGGATAAAATAAAATGGTGGCTAAGCGTCGTTTCATTTGTGTTATTGTCGTAGCGGGAAGGGTTAAGCCATCCGAATACGAACCTATACGTTCGAATCTAAAATCATAAATGAAATTTTATTTAATTTTATTTTATTAATTGGAATCTAACATATCATAATTCATACTTTAATAGCATATTTACTTCCTGAATAATTAAAATATTTCAGGAAAATAGTTCATATGTTTGGGTTTATTGATATTCCTTATTATGCGTATTTACACAAATGTGATAATCACATACATTCTTAAAACACGTCTGATGCTTGCTTCTTTTTGCCCACAAGCAATGACTTTTGTCACACTTTTTGCTTTTGCGAGTTGAACGATCGCGGCAAGGAGGGATTGGGCGCACGCCACATAATTATTCAGATATATATTTTATTTATCCATCTTTTAAAACGATTATAGGTATGAATTTATTGGTATTTATATTTTATATTATATTGTATATATATATATATATATTACGAAATAATTCATAATGCATAGTATTTTCAATACAAATTAAGCAACATATAATATTATGAGCCCTCACTTGACACGCCTTGTGCATGGTGGCAAGCCAACGAAATAACGGCAGTTCGCGCGGACATTGTGTTGTTGAAAAACCAAATGACGATTGGACAAACATACATATATATACATATGAGCTCGCATACATATTGACGCCAATTTTGCTGTCGTCGGAGTTGACAAATGTTTCAATCACAATTTCGACAATGTCGATCGGCTATGTTGTCTCGTTTGTCCTTTTCAGTGGTTTGCTTTGAAATTGACTTATGCTCTTTGAAATATTGCGATTACCATTAGTGCATTTTCATAGCGTCGTATTTAGATAAAATGGCTAAATCGAAAACTATGAAAAATGATAATAGTAAACATATAAAGTACTATATGGTGTGCTTAGAATATATAAAGTAGTTAATGATATTTCATGAATGTCAATTTGATATAAATTTTATAATTTAATGCCATAAATAGTGCATAATATGAAAAATATAAATATTATTTAAACTCGAAAGGTCATGTTGCCAATTCTCCTTTTGAATGAACATCAGACAAATTCTTCAATTTCTGATTTTAGCAAATGTTGTGAGAAGCAGCTTGTGGGCAATACAAACGCGAGGGGATAGGATTTTCAGTGTGCTGTCAAATTGTAAATTAATTTTCTTTTCTCATATTGCGTAGGATTCTATGAAACCAAATGTGACGTTACAGGAAAAATAGCGCGCGCAGGAGTGGAACGAGCGCACTTTGCTTTGAAGCAGACGCACGTTCCTATGAATGAATTTGTTGTCGTTTATGAAATACTTGAAAATAGCCGCAGTTCGCAGATATTATTGGCCGATGATGGTGCGTCTACGTTTTTGTCACTTGCGCGAATGTTTGATTTTTGCGAAAGACATATTGAGGTACATACATATGTACATATATGCCAATATATTGGACACGAATGAACGAAGGCAATTTCAAGAATATTCACATATAGACATATAAACATTGAAGCAAGTAAACAACAAGCTGTTTGAGTTCACATATTAGACAAATATGTTCTAATATCATCTGTGGTGCTGCTTGTATAGCACACTTCCTTATTGCAATGAAATGTTTGCTAAGTTCAAATCCTATCATATTTTTATATATTATACTATTTTTTATTTTTATAACCCTTTTTTATGAAATGATATTTGAATTCTATTTTAATATTATTTCCCTGATTATTAATATTTTCCTGTCAGAAGTCAATTTCTTTCGTTTTTATTATTTAAAGTTTTGTTTATGCGCATATCAAAGAACATCTGTGCATATGTATGTGTATACATTTTGCTTATAGAGTGGTGTAGTTCGTTTCGTACCCTGATAGTTGTGGTGAAATTTTATTTTCCAACTGGCGCGTTTTCGATGTTCCTCCATCGTAATTAACATTTTAGTACTGCTAACATTTGCTCCTTCTCTACTCATTTACATTCTCTGCATTTGCTCCTTCTCTACTCTTCAACATTCTCTGCTCCTTCTCTATTCATTAACATTCTCTGCTGTGGTGAAACACGCTCATCGCATTTTGTTAGGTTTTGACAATTCACACGCTGGTCCGTAGTTGGACTCTATATTTTACGTTCTATATTTTACGTTCTCTGGTTGGACCTTCTCTATATTTTACGTTCTCTGGTTACAGCCTTGAAAAAACAGGTCTTTAAAAAATATATCTATTACAATTTGAAAACTGTACAAATTTTTGTATAAATTAAAATTTCCCTACATTTTCCAACACTTCAAATTAATTCACAATATTACTTGAATTCTCCATATTATTGTGAATGGCACAATGTGTATTCTCATTGGCAATGCCAAACCGGTGAACTGTCAAAAAACTTATTAACAGCGTCTCAAAAAAGCACGTATGCTATATTACTGCTAATTCGTGTGAATTTTGTTAAAAAGTATAAAAATTTATAACAACCACGTTATTGAATAAATCTCATATTAACCTATTAAATAAATAAAGTAGCTAGTAATGAATCGCAGACGTCCTCACGATGGCGATGAAGAAGGCTATGGTAAGTTGACATACTTTAGTGGCATGCTGTCAGAAATACCTACAGATTTCTTCAAGTATAATCATGCGTTTGATTTTTAGATCACCGTAATCGCAAGCGTAGACGCGTTTCTGAAAATCAGGAAATTGAAGATAGATTAGAGTCGCTGATTTTGAGGGTTGGTGAACGCAGCACATCATCAGTAGAATCAAACTTAGAAGGACTAGTTTCTGTGTTGGAGGCAGATCTGGGTACATTTCGTTTAAAAATATTACGAATTCTATCGGATTGTGCAGTTAAAATGCCCGAAAAATGTACTATCTATACGACTTTGGTTGGTTTATTGAATGCGAAAAATTATAAATTTGGTGGAGAATTTGTAGATCATATGGTGAAAACATTCAAGGAAGCTTTGAAAATGTGCTGGTGGGATGCAGCACGTTATTCGTTACGTTTTCTGGCTGATTTGGTGAACTGTCATGTAATATCAGCCACTAGCCTCTTGCAACTTCTAGATACAATGATCGATGTCTCAAACGAAGACACAGTACCACAAGTTCGTCGAGACTGGTTCGTTTTTGCGGTACTCTCCACACTGCCATGGGTTGGCCGTGATTTATATGAGAAAAAGGAGTCGTCATTAGAATCTCTGCTGTTACGCATTGAAGTATATTTAAATAAACGTTCTAAGAAGCACCATAATGCTTTACGTGTATGGTCCGTGGATGCACCGCATCCACAGGAAGAATATTTAGATTGTCTATGGGCGCAAATTCGTAAATTACGACAAGATAATTGGGCTGAAAAACACATTCCACGTCCATATCTAGCCTTTGACTCTATTTTATGTGAAGCATTACAACATAATTTACCACCTATAGTGCCACCACCACATCATGAGTCATATGAATATCCCATGCCGTGGGTTGTTTATCGCATGTTCGATTACACTGATTGCCCCGATGGTCCTAATTTACCAGGTGCACATTCAATCGAGCGCTTCTTAATTGAAGAACACCTTCACCACATAATTGAGACACATAGATTAGAAAGAAAAGATTGTGCAGCGCAACTACTGGCGTTCCCCTACAAGAACAAAATACCTCTTGAATATTGCATTGTTGAGGTTGTGTTTTCGGAAATATTCCACATGCCTACACCACGATATCTGGAAATTGTTTATGGGTCCATTCTTATTGAGTTGTGCAAATTGCAACCAGCAACACTGCCACAAGTGCTAGCACAAGCCACTGAAATTTTGTTCATGCGTATAGACTCAATGAATACATCATGTTTTGACCGTTTTGTAAATTGGTTTTCATACCATTTAAGTAATTTTAAATTCACTTGGTCTTGGGAGGAGTGGGATAGTTGTTTGTTGTTAGATCCAGAACATCCACGTCCAAAATTCATACAAGAAGTTTTACATAAATGTTTAAGGTATTGTTTTGTTGTTTACATTAATTATATTTTTGCATATTATAAATGAAATCTTAATATTGCAGGTTATCTTATCATCAACGAATCACGGAAATGATGCCTGAAACATATGCTAAGCTCATACCAGTTCCACCGCAACCCAACTATAAATATGCTTCCGAAGATGCGGGTGAGTGATATTGATTAATTTGACTATTTGTTATTATTTCCATAAAATTTTACTTATGTATATTTTATATTGCGGACACTCACGTTCATAGAATACAAGGTTACGACAACCGTTAACGTCATAAAACCAACATCATACATACAGTGGAACGAACTTAAAATCATTAGTTATGTTATTGTTTTTATTTTGCGTTTTTTGTTCAAATCATCTGCTATATCTCTCCTTCATTGCTCATTAAGATAGACTTAAACATAACTATGTATGGCAAACATTCGCAATTTGAATATGATGTCTTTTTTGAAATTATATACTTTAAAATTATTGGAGCAAAATCTTGAATTTTGACTACCCTCTGCTATGCTAAGTAACAAGTAAAGAAGTTCTAAGTTCGGGTGTAACCGAACATTTTATACTTTCGCAACTTGCAAGGGAAATTACGTAGGGTGTTGGCAAAGTTGTATATTAAAGAAAGTATTGATCCGATTCAACCCATTTTTTAAACGAAAACATACTATTATCGAGAGTTTCATTTATTTATTTTATTATATGAATTTCAATTATATATCTTACACATTGACCGATATTTTCAGTAAAAAATAAACTATAGGCATTGGAGTACACATATTCAGTACCTAGGGGCTTAAACAGTTTTGGTTTGATTTAGACAATTTTTGATCACAAGGTGGCATACTTTGAACGCATTATTCATTCAAAGTTTTACCCCGATACAAACATTGTTGCTTGATTTGCATATTGGAAAGTGAAAGAATCAGATGGAATTTAAAATGGTGTTATATGGGAAAAAGCGTGGTTGTAATCCGAATTTGTTGAATCCGAAGAAATTGTATAGATCAAAGACTATAGCATATAGCTGTCATATTAACTGAACGATCGGAGTAAAGTACTTACATGGAAAACTTTTTTAAACAGATCCCAAGATATGGGGTTTCACTTAAAAGTGGGCGATGCCACGTCCATAGTCTAATTTTCAACGCGGTTCCTATAAAGTCATCTCATACCATCCCAGAGATAAAATTTATATCGGGGTTGTCACCCGATTTTACACAATAGAGGTGCTAAAAACATTTGTTCTCAGTGAATTTTGTTATTATAGCTTTAGCGGCTTAGAAGATATGCACACCACCTTTTAGGGGGCAAGACCACGACAATTATTAAAAAATTGTAACTGCAAATGCCTCCCTACTGTGATCCTGTATATATAACAGCCTTGTATCTTATTATGGAGCTTAATTATGGCAATTTATTTGTTTTTGATTAATGACGATTTGTGGACGTGGTACCAAGAAACATGTGTACCAAGTTTCATAAAGATATCTCAATTTTTACTCAAGTTACAGCTTGCACAGTCGGACGGACGGACAGTCACCCGCATTTCAACTCGTCTCTTCAATCTAATCATTTATATATATACAAGGTACAATCCAAAAGTTCCAGGACTTGTTATCCCTCAATTGTGTATTCTTCAGTGTTGCCGTATAAAATTTATATAATAGCTGAGATATCGCGCTACATGTGACATTACATTTGTAGTGTCGGTCGGAAAATGAGCATCGAACAAAGAGCCAACATTAAGTTTTGTTTTAAACTTGGTAAAACTTTTAATGCGGTATTCTACCTAGGAGTTTTGAAGCGTTTGGTAGCACGTATTCGTCGCATTCGGCCCGAATATAGCGAAGATGGAAGTTGGCGTTTGTTGCACGATAATGCGCCGTCTCATCGATCGACGCATGTGGCCGATTATTTGACCAAAAATCAAATTTTAACAATCAACCACTCCCCGTATTCACCTGATATGGCACCGTGCGACTTCTATTCTTTCGGAAAACTACATTTGGCCATGAAAGGAAACCGCTATGCTGACGTTGATGTCATCCAAAAGGCGACGACAGCCATCCTCAACGATATACCGACAAATGACCTAAAAAAGTCATTCGATAACCTTCTTGAACGTGCAAAACGTTGTATTCAGGCGGAAGGAGACTATTTTGAAGGCGACCAACAAATTTAAAAAACAAAAATAATAATAATATTCGTTTTTTAATAAAAGCCCTGAAACTTTTGAATTGCACCTTGTATAACCCTATATCTAACTCGATTAGTTTTAGGTGATACAAACAACCGTTAGGTGAACAAAACTATTATACTCTGTAGCAACATGTTGCGAGAGTATAAAAATGTGTAGAATCGATTTTTATGTTTTTTTATACCCTGAACAAAGTACTTGTATATTAAGTTTGTCACGAAGTTCTTAACACCCCGAAGGAAATGACCGAGACCGCATAAAATATATACATAAATGATCAGCATGATGAGTTGAGTAGATTTAGCCATGTCCGTCTGTCTGTATATATACAAACTAGTTCCTCAGTTTTTAAGCTATCAATCTGAAATTTTGCACCTGTCTTTGTCGCACTAAGAAGCTGCTCATTTGTCGGAACGCCTGATATCGGGCCACTATTGCATATAGCTGCTATACAAACTGAACAATCGGAATCAAGTACTTGTATGAAAAACTGAAAAACTTTTTTATTTAACGAGGTATCTTCACGAAATTTGGCATGAGTTATCTTCTAAGGCAACAATGTATTCTGCGCAGAAATTGTATAGATCAGATCACTATATCATACATACAAATTGAACGATCAGAATCAAGTTCTTGTAAGGAGCTTTTGTATTTGTAAAGGGTATTATAGCTTCGGGGCAACCGAAGTTAACGTTTTTTCTTGGTTTTATAAACAAAGCGCGGTCGCCAAATTTTATAACTGATTTAAATTATTTAAATGAGATACAGAGGATCTTAATTCATTATATTAAGAAAACTTGGGCACTCAATTTCACAAAATTTTCACACATTATAAAAGTCAGGTGAAAAGTCGGAAATTATATTGGGTTTATTAAGCTAGAGATAGTCCAGACTGTTTGTCATAATGTTTGAAATATACCAAAAACATGTTCTCATGCAATTTTATGAAGATAATTTACACAGAAACCGACATATTAGACATCAAGTCTGCTAGAATAACGAAAATCATTATATGAAGTATATGGGAGTTGGGGTAATTCGTGGACTTATTTCACATATTTTCGACATTATCCAGTGCTATATGTTCACTTACTTTTCTTACGATATTTACAAATTGACCGATATATACGGTATAAAGCCAACTGGAAATTTGAAATTCTTTTATGTATTGAGAGTTATGGGTAGTATTGAAACTTTTTTCATTTTTGGCATTACGACATAACATTACCAGAGAAATATGTGGTTGTTGTTGTGGGGGAAGTATTCTGCCGAGTTGACAGTCCCGACTGTCGTGGGAACGAGAGAAAAAGATGCTCTCTGAGTTTCATTAAGATTCCTCACATACAAACTAAAAACTTCCAACTACAAGAAAACTATGTGATCCATGGACTCCAAAATAGACTGGCTAAATCTATCCATTACTTCAGGGTGAGATTGACTTCTACAGCGGTACATACACGGCTTTTATCGATAACGCCAAGAAACATTTACTCTTGTAATCTAGGATTTTGATCTATGCAATTGTATTATGTATTTTTTATCAAGTTCTCTCAGCTAACTATCTATTTTTTGTACTGATTTTTATTATGTATATTGTCGATTGGCGTAGTCAATAAATAAATATTGACCAATATATAGGTTGGTTGAAAAGTGATCAGTGGTCACCAAGAAATAGCACTACTCGTAAGAACACATGCAAAGTTACAAGTCATTTTATCAATTAATTCCTTGTTTACAAGCCATTTTAAGTTGACGTGTCAGAGTATTTTTTTAAAATGGAAAAAATTGAATATCGCGCAGTGATTAGATTCTTTGTTTTGAAAGTTTTAAAAGCAAAGGCAATTTATGAACAATTGTTAGAAGTGTATAAAGAGTCCTCACCTTTAAAACGCATTTGGGCAAAGTTTGTGCCCTCGCCTAAGTCATATTGACTCATCTAACCCCAGCATATAGATGAACTCCAATATACCGCTAGGTGCTGGTGAAGCGATGCGATCCCTGTTTGGGAACATGGATCCCAGGGCCTTAATTCTGCGTCTGCAGACTGCTGTGCAGTCCACTAGCAGGTGTTCTGGGGTTTCCGGCTCCATCTCACAGAACCGGAAGTTTGCAGAAGAGATTAAGCCTATACCTACATTATATGTTAACTGATGCTTGAGTTACATACCGAAAATTGAAAGGATCAGATGGAACTTTTAATTGGGTTTTATGGGTAGGCGTGGTTGTCGTCTGATTTCACCCCTTTTCTAATCCGTAGTATAGAAATGTATTTATTCAACATAACCGTTATATGGGCGTGGTTAAAGAAAAATTTAACGGAAATCGTATATAATGTACAGTCGGTTCTGTAGACCGAAGTTTTTGTTGCTGAAGCAGTGAGAAACGTTGTCCAAATAATTTTGAGGAGTGTTGCCGAGTTACAGTCCTTGGCCGGATACGAACACTAGTTTGTAGTTTCGACTGTCGTACGGACGATCTACCTATAACGGAGTTATTTTGGCTCGCGTAAAAATACTGAGATTCACAATGAAGTTGAAAATAATGTTTATGCTGATATTAAATGTATCCAGTTATTCTATGTTGAAAGCTCCATATAAATTTGTTACGGAGAAGAATTTGTAAGTATAAATATAAAAAAAAAACTTAAACAATTACCTAAAAAACTAGAAAAGTATTCGCCATACTGCTCGACTGTATGTATATTGAAAAAGTTTATAAATATATTTATTATACAGATATATTTTGAGATCAGTTACATACCTATTTTACTTCCTTAAGGTACCGTGATGATACTTTAAATATTATATATAATCTAAGAGAAATTCTCTAGACAACCTACACAGCGAAGAGAAAGAAATTGGATACATTTTTTCGTACTTATATTTATTTATTTTAAATACATACGATAAAAAATATAATTTAACAGTTTTATTCTTACTTTTTACATATGGAAAAATTATAATGAAATGTTTGAAATTTCATTAACAGACTCAAATATCTACAATTTTTGGTATTTAAAGCACACAGCAAAATGAAATTAAAATTAACTTTTTAATCAGTTTTCACCTCATTCTCATCATGGTCACTATCATCAACGATAACTGGTATTTCCTCACCATTGCTACCAACTTTGATGCTAACCGACTTGCTAACCGATTTTTGAGTGAGCACTTCGATTACCTCACTGCTCTTTTTTGCGAGCCTGATGTTATTGGCAGCTTCAGTTGAATTGTTCCCTGTTCCTGTGGACAATTGATTTTCGTGTCTCTGATTTTGCTCTTTCAACTCACGTTTTTTCTCTACTTTAGATGAGTTTGTATTCGCAGGCTTGGTTTCTGAGTTCGTTTTCACGTCATTATTTATAAATGAATGTTTACGTCGAGGTTCCCACTTAAGCACCGGCTGCTCGGTGCTTGTTGTAAATGGACGTTTCAGTCGATATCGGCTGATCGCGCGTAAAGAAGGCATCTCTGATGTGGAAGTAGAAATAAAGTTTTGCGTGCTATGCTTAGTCGGAATCGTAGCATCATCTATGAATGTCGTAGACGGCATTGCAGTTGTGGCTGAGAGCAGCAAATTTGTGGTATGCAAAGCAGTAGTCAGTAAGGAAGGACTTGTTGTGTTAAACGGTTCCAATTGAGTAGTGGTTGTAGTAAAAAGCTCTGTTCTAGAAGGTGAAAGGGTGGTCGTGCTTGTAGTTGCAGAGGGCGTACTGCTGGCAGCTACTATAAGGCTCTCCGTCGTGCTGCTGGTCGTTTGTGTTTCAGTGTTTGGATCAATCTGCTTATTTTTAAATGATATTTGCAGGTCTTTTTGGCTTGGTTTTTGTTCTAAATCGATTTTTAGCTTACTAGCCTCCTGTGATTCATCTTCATATAGAATGCGCTCATCCTGATCATTGTCAGGTGCGGGTAATTGCTCAGCTATCGAGTTAGGCTTTGCTACTTTTCTGCTATCCACAGCGCTTATGTGGATATCTGCATATTCTGTGTATTGATTAATTTTTGGCGACTCCAATTGAACTGCGCCCAGTTCGTAAGATTGTCCGTCAAGGGGAGGGTTGTGCGCTAAGCTTAAGTAAAGTGGATCAGGTTCAGAATATCGTATAGGATCTTCATCCATCGGTTCGCTTTGTATAAAGGGTTTATTACGTGGTAAAGGTTGTTCGTCCTCTACTACAGGTGCTGGATAGATAAGTAGAGGAACTTTTGAGTCAATCGGTATCTGATAAATATGTGGCCTCTTCAATGGCACTACTGGCGTGACTTGCACCACATGCTCTTTGCGCACCTGTGTCTCCGTTTTAGGAAAACTTATCGGGTTTACTGCCTGGAGACCCTGTTGAAAAATGTTTTTCATGCCAGTATTATAATAGTTATTGAAAAATGTCGGTGCTGTGGTTTCGCTCACTACGTTTTTATAGGATTTTGTTGGCTTATTTAAAGGTTTTTCAGCACTACTGGGATCATTTTCGATACTTGTAGCGCTCGGCATATAAAAATGATGGTGAAAGTGATGCGTGACCACAGGTGTAGATAACTTACCAACCCCACCAGACAAGTTTGACTCACGAGAATTGAGTGGAAATTTAATAGTTTCATGCTCCAATGTGGGTGAATATAATTCAGGGCGTGGAAATTTCGTTTGATAGTTGGGACGATATGTGGTGGGTGTGGGATAATAATTCCGACTCACTATATTCAGTAAATTCGGAAATACTTCTAGCTTTGGTGGCGCCTTAATTGGGTAATTTTTTATATACTCGCCAATATTTAATTTCTCTGGTGAAGGAAATTGTGGGGGTGGTTGGAAGATGCTATGTAAAAAAGTCGGTTGGGGCATTGGTGTCGCCGGCCGGTGCTGATTCGTGGGTGCAATCTTCAAATTTCTACCTGCGACATCGTCTAACCGCCGATCGGCAAATCGGGAGTAATCGTTGTAGACTATCTTCCCAAACGTATGTGGATAATCATCATCTCGTTGTATATACGTTTGCAACGCACTCCCTTTGCTATTGTTGCTGTCAGATTCTGCCTTTCTTTTAACATTACCCACACTTTCGGCACGCAGTGGGCTCACACTAAATTTCATTTCATAACGAAATTTTCGGTTGGCATCACGATGTCGTATCTTCTGAACTTGCCACAAAGCCCACACATGATCGCCATCACAATCATAACCACATTCTCCTTCTATGAACCGGTAAGAGTTGTTGCCTATTTTCACAAGGCGTCCACTTGCAAGTGTAATAATATCTCCAAAGCGTGTATCAAAAACACGGTTTAACGGCTGGTAAGGGGAATTCAGAAAGTCGCTGTATGCGTTTTGTTTGCTGTAAAAGAAAAAAAAAGTGACAGAAAAGTTCAATCATACTTTAAACACAAAATAAATAAAATAAAATACAAACATTATGCAAGAAAGTAAGGAAAGTCTAACTTCTGGTGTTACGGGGAAGTACCTTTTGGCATTGATAAAAGTTTATGTTACAAAAAGGTTGCGTAAGGCTTCAATATCATTATGCGACGAAACCATCTTATATACACGTATTTTTTAGGTCATAGACACACTTAGTTTAAATTTTTAATATTTTTAATTTTTATATTTTTAATGTTAATTTTTTGAACTGAAAAATATGTGATATGCACTCAACCCAAAGGATATTTAATATAGTGGCTATAACAGGAAAAGGTCAACTAGAGAATCAGAATTCATTATATATAATATAAGGGATCTGGGGTTTAGACCATGGTATAGACCGATTTCTTTCAAATTCAGCTTTAAACTACATTATATTCAGGAAATGTTCATTTAATTTCAATACATCATCACAAATTTTAACAAAAGTTTTATTAGGGCTAGGGGAAGGTCTGGACTGATACATTAAATTTTGACATTCCACAAGTCTACTCGATAACTTGTTTCCACTCAAAACTCACTCGTTATAGAGCCTGCTAGAATAACGAATATGTATATGTAGTATATGGGAGCTGAAATAATTCATGGACCGATATAACACATTTTCTGCACTAAACTATAGCATATCCTATGTTATGATATATACGGTATAAATTGAAAATCTTGATATTAATTATATGAGGACTAAGGGAAGCATTGAACCAATTTTTCCCTGATGTGCTCTAAGTCTCATTATTACAATTGACCACTAATTTGGGTAAAAAGTCAGCCATAGATACTTAGGTCAACATATTTCATATCTTGGGGTCAGACGTGCGATGTCATACGTTAAGGGCTTTATTTGTGCAAAGTATTGTACTATAACGATTCGTCTGCTGCAAGTTTGTTAGATATAAAATTGTGAGTTATGTGTATTAAACCAATTAGGGATCAACATGTTGCGATAGGATAAAAATTATAAAAATATCTTGGATGAACAAACTACTTGACTGCAATTCGGTTAGGGCAGATACAAAGTCAGTTCGCCAAACATAAAGCAAGAAAAATAAAAAAGTAGCTCCCAAAAATGCAGGTTCTTACAGAATAGAGCCATCTCCAAATAACTTCACACATGTAGGATTGAAAGATAAAAGACTTAAGGCGCAAACTTTGTTTTCTGGAAGTTCAAATTAAATAAATAACGTTTCAGAATCAGCTTTTGGTAAAACTATTCCATGACTTTAGATGAATCCCTGATCCGCCAAATAGTAATCACGCTCTCACTGCTCTATGAAACGAATTATCAATTTCCTCTTGACATAAATTCATAAGAAGCTGAAACTCGGCAAAATTGCTCAAAACATAATTATAAGCAAGTTGGACATACAAGTATGCACCTACTATCACCGAATAAGCTCGCATCTATGTTTTAACATTTAGTAGTGGTAACATACATATGAATGAACGCTTTGCCATGCATTACATGCCAACGCCACCACGACAGCGTCTACGCAATTAATACTAATTTAGCAAACGTAACATTCCGGCACACTTAGTTTCCACTGACGCAACTCAGCCAACACCGCGAACACCACCAGTGCAATGATAAACAAGTAAGGAAGGTCTAAGTTCGGGTGTACCTGAACATTTCATATGCTTGCAACTTGCCAGGATCAAAACTGGGGAAATAAATTCAAGTGTTGGCAAAACTTCATATTCAAAAATGTTGCGAAAGAATTCAACATTCATTATTCGACGAAATCTTGAATGGATTGCAATCAAATTTGGTGTTTTATTAAGTTCTATTATAGGTCATAGACTCACTTAGCTTTATTGCTATATTTAATGGTACTTAGCATTAGCTAAAATTATATTAAAATCATCTTCAAATGAGATATATGTGATACTTAGTTATACTCGAGAACATATTTTCAAGCAATTTTATAAATAATAACACACGGAACATGTCGGTCAGCCGTATAAGGATTGTTAGAATACCGAAAATCATTTCACATATTTTCGACATTAAACTATAGTATATGCAGTATTATACGTTAGTTAATTTTTTTAAGATATCTTACATATTGACCAATATATACGGTATAAAGCGAACCGGAAACTCTAAAATCTTATATTAAGTACATGGGAGATATGGATAGTACAGCATCAGCTGTTTTTAAGTTAGCTAAATTACAGCTTAACGGTTCAATGATACTGGTAGCACTGCAAAACGTCATGGAGGTGGTCATCAAAAGACAGCAACGTCACGTGAGAAGGTTAAAAAAGTGAAGAAGCGACTTGAGCGAAATCCCCGACGAAGTGCCAATCAAATGGCAAAAGAACTGAAAATATCTGACCGTAGCATCCGCCGCATACTGAAAAATGATCGTCAGGTCAAGCCTTATAAGTACCAAAGGCACATGATCTCACAAACAAACAGCAACAAGTCAGACTTCAGAGAGCAAAGGAGTTGCTTCGTTTGCCCGAACGTAATCAATTTCTGAACATTGTGTTTTCTGACGAATAAATGTTTACAGTTGAGCAATTCGTAAACTCTCAAAACGATAGAATTTACTTGACTGACCGTTCAAACAAGAATTTGAGTCATCGATTGGCCACCATGACGCAGCACCCGCCACAGGTAATGATTTGGGCCGCTGTAACCGCAGATAGGCACTGGCATCAAGGTAAATGCGCAGTATTATCGGGAAAGTATTCTGGAGGTTGCTTTGAAGCTAAACGTTTCGGTGGCAGACCATGGACGTTTCAACAGGACTCGGCACCATCTCATAAAGCTCGAGTGAACTAAAAATGGCTGAAAAACAACGTTCCGAACTTCATAACGTCCACACAATGGCTCTCGAATTCATCAGACGCTAATCCAATGGATTATTCTATTTGGGCCATTTTGGAGAGCATGATCCGAACTAACAAATACTCCAGTCTCGAGGCGCTGAAGAAAGTTGTTGTCCGCAAAATACCTGGAAGTCACATTTGGGCAACTTGCGATTCGTTTTGGACCGTCTCAAGGCCATAGTCAAGACAAATAGTGGTCATATCGAGCAAAAATACATTGTTTCCGAATTTTGTATTATGTTCACACATTTTGTACTTTGAACTGATTAAAAGTTATTTTCCAAACTTAATTTATGGCCTTTTTAATTGGTTACACTTCGAGTGCCGGACCCTGCATTGACCTGATTTTATCTATTTTTGATTACTACTGAGTTTCATTAAGATACCTCATATACCATCCTGCATTATATGTGTACGAATTAAAGTCAACCGGTCAATGGTGCAAGTTTTCACCCGATTTTATTTATTTTTGGCACAAAGACTGTTATTAGGAAATAGCTCGCGCAATTTTATTAAGACAACTCACAAAGTATGTGGAGTCTAAGAGAAGTATTGAACTGATTCAACCTACTTTTGACATACTCTGGAAAGGATTCTCACACACATTGACTGATATTTTCGGTTCAAAATCAGCCATACTCACAGGTCCACAAATTCGGTATATAGGTGCTTGAACAGTTATGGTCCGATTTTGAAAATTTTTACACTAAAGGTCGCATACTTTAATGGCACTTTTGATTACCTGACATTCCCGGCAGCAGCGTCGGCTGAGTCATTCGCGAAAAGTGTAGCGTATGTTACGTGTTTGAGTGTACGTTCCCACGGGCGCAGAAGCGACTGGTTTTGCGCTACAGTTGTACTAGATTCTTCCTCATAAAAAATACTTTTCCCATTCAACTCTAGACCATGTTTGGGGGTGAGCACTACGTCGCGTCCTACAATGGCATCAACGGCTTGGAACTGGAAATTATAAAAGGGAACTAATAATATTTGTATTCATTATAGTTGAAGTAAAATATTGAATATTGTAATAAGAAAATCACCACTTAAATCAGTGTGTCAGTCATGTGTATTAAATTTTGAATTTTCAGCCAAAATAATTTTATTAGCGTAATTACCATACTTTGCCATTTCATTGAAAAATTAAAGATTCAATTGTCTTAAAAATTTTCTATTCAAGTCGGATTGTATAATAAGGAAGTGAGGTAGGTTTTCTACTTTATGAAATGTAAAAATCTATTTATACTATTATGTATAAGCTTGTAAAACAGTACTTAACGACAATTTCCATTTTCTGATCGCACGAATTCTTATTTAAGTATTTTCCACCTAAGTTTCTACGGAATATTTCCAGTTTATTTCAAAAAAGATATTACTGAGTAAAATGAAAAATAAAATTATATATTAACTGTCTTCGGTTCCCCAAGTCCTGCAGTGTGGCCAATTCAACACAAAAAAAATTAAATGTGCTTGTAAATATCTTGGAATAAAAAGTAAATTTTTTAAAAAATGAAAAACTTAATTTTTGGTAACACCCAAAAAGAAACGTGGGTCCTTCAGTGTTTGAGATATCGACCTGATTGCACACGTCCAAGAAGCTGCTCATTTGCCAGAATCGCCGATATGGGGCAACTATAGCATATAGCTGCTATACAAACTGACCGATCGAACTTAAGTTTGCCAGAATCGCCGATATCGGAAACTTATAGCATATAGCTGCGATACAAACTAACTGATCAAACTTAAGTCCTAGTATGGAAATATTTTTTATTTGGCAAGGTATCTTCACGAAAAGCGGCATGGATTATTGTCCGAGAAATTCTTCAGATCAGACAACTATAGCATATAGCTGCCATACAAATCGATCAAGAAATTTTTCGTAGATTATTATCTAAGCCATCGCTACAATCTCCGAAAATATTGTACAGGTCGGACCGCGATAACATACAAGGTGCCATATAAACTAACCAATCAAAATCAAGAAACAGATATTGTTTTATACCCTTTTATGCTATAACAAACGCACCTGTTAAGCGTATTATAACTTCCCTTATACCCGATATAAAACTCATACAAATTTTTTAGAATATCGAATTTCAATATTCGAAAGTACAGTAATTGACTTTATACATTAATCCACAACACATCATTCATATTATGAGTCCTCTCAAGTCCGTATGGCCACCTTGACAACATTCTTTAATGAAGTTTTATTTCCAACGCCACTTGAATTTTAATATAAATCATAAAGTTATTTCTTCACAAAAACAATTTGACTTACATGCACCACCAACACAAATACGAGAATATGCAACACGCAAACAAATTGGTAATCCATGGTCTAATATTGTGCGTCAGGTTGCCCAAAAAATTTCTGTTTAGATGCTTAGCTTTTCTTTTCCGTCCTTGCGCACTGTTATTATGTCACGAACTCAAGCTTTAAAGCAAACCGTCCCTTACTATTTGAATGTTTAAACTAAACTGATCCATCGCCGCGGCGTGTATCTCATATCATAAAACTTTATTTGTTTATTTTACTTGTTTCTATGGCAAATACACGAATGAATTTGCCAGCCAAAAGCTTAGCGCAAGCGTTCACATGAATGGCCTACCACCCGCGCACTAAACGTTGGCTTGATTGCAGTCAACTGAGACACGAAACTTGCAAGCGAACGAAAACTGAATCTGCGAAAAACAAATTGTACAGAAAATGGAAAGAGCTTGTAATATTTGCAACACTCCGTAAGCGATTTGAGCTGTGTTATGGAACGAAAGTGTATCATTACTACTGCCTGTTAATGTGAGTTACGTTGTTTGTTGCAAGTACGCGCTTGAAAAGATAAATTTATTCACTTTGGCGCTTTGATGCGTTTGTTCAATGGAAATCACAGCTGTTTCCTGCCAAAGCTACATGTAAAAATCTGTTTGGCGAATTCTTATTTTACATCACTAGGCGTTTATCCAAAATAACTAATTGTCGGTCCGTTACCGCGCCCTTATGTGGTCAAGAACAAAGTTCACTTAAGTTGCCCAAGACTGATCAGCGCCTTTAAGGGTTGCTTGAATCAATTTAAAAGAAATTATGCCTGGAAAAATTATGGATGAACAAAAAACATTAAATTCACTAATTATTGTATGATGCTTATTTGGGTCTTACTTTGGAGCACAGTGAGCCTAATGATGGCTTAAGTGCGGCCACTTGCTGTCCTGCGACCTCCCTTTTCAAACAACCAACTAACTGAACGTTGGCCAAGAAACCTCAAGTAATTTATATGAAGGTGTTTTAATAAACAATCACGGTTTTAAGGCATATACTTAATAGATTACCAAATTTGCTACGACTCTAATCAATATAATGTCACAGTCTTTTTAATGACTCTTGTAAACTTTTCGAGACAAAAACATCCAAAACTTATTTAATCTAACGTTATACGAATCTAGCGATATGAAGCGTTGTTTGGTTGATGCAACCATGCACTCTTTTGAATCAAAGATTTGATTGCAAATGCATTCATTTCTTTTTCTGGAAAAATGGAACTCAATATGTTCGATAATAAGAAATCACGCTCGCACCATTCTGACACCTGATTTCTTTTTCGACGGACACAATACATAATGCTAAACTTTGCATTAAAAAATGCTTCAACATTCATTGTTCGACAGAACCGTGAATGGATTACAGTCATATTTGCTATATTATTAACTTATTTGAAAGGTCATAGACTTACTTAGTTTTATTAATATATTTTGCTTTGTGTTCAATTAAGTCAAATGAAATGTTCATATGTGATATAAACTTATCAATAAAAAATTAATTTAAATATTGAGTATATGAGGGAAACGCCATCCAACATGCGGAAGTCATTATATTAGAGATATGAAGTTTAGACCAAGATCTAGACAAATTGTATTCGTATTCAACGTGTGGTTTAGCCCTATGTTCAAGAAAACATATCCACTCAATTTTATTAAAGCTGGGGTCAATCGTGGACCGATTTCATACATTTTCAGTATTAAACTATACCATCTTGGTTTTGAAACTTAATATTCCTGTGTGGTTATCATCTAATTTCACCTATTGCGCCATGTCCACTTTTTAAACATTTACCAACCATAGATTACTCTCCATACGTATGGTAAATCCCCTGTACCAAATTACAGTTTGGTATCTTATACCATGTTCCGACCAAAAATTTTATGTGATTAGATTACATTTAATCTATTCACTATCTAGACTATCCTCACTGCCGTTGGAGATTTATGAAGCAGCTGTTTTTGACATTAAAAAATCCACATCGTTTAGTATTAGTATTAATTTGTTATTAAAGTTTTTTTTTTAATATTCACCATTTAAGCGATATAATGGTCGCGTTTAGCAATGAGACTAGTCAATATGGAGTCAAATTCAACAAGGTATATTTGGTTTAAGTTATGTATTATATATAAATATTGGTATTATATGTATTAAATATAATGTGGTTCTTTTAATTAAAATGCGTACATAATTCAGACTCGTGGCCAAATGTTTTGGGAAGTCGATTGCTAGGTGAATTCAGATGCATTGCTTTTAATTTATTTGTTTGTTAAAATTTTTTACTTTTTGTAGTGTCTAAATCAGCAGTGATAAATTTCCCTTCGGACAAATAGAAGGCACTAAATCAGAGTCGCACAGGGAGATTTCGTGTGGATTAGATTCAAATCACCTCCGTGACGAGATTAACAACTGTCATTTTTGTATGGCGAAATCTTTCTAAATCCAGTAGATTAGTAAGATAGCCTAAATCTTGTAATTAGGTGTCGGTCGGAGCATGATATTAGTTTGAGTGTTAGATATAGCCCTTTATGGTTTTTCACTTACCGGCATTTTGTAGATGTGGGAATGATCCGATTCCGCCCATCTGCAATACCAACCTCCCTAGGGTGCCAATGAATACAAGTTCCAAGTTTTATTGCGATTCAGTTTTAACTCAAGCAAGCTTACACGGATGGACGGGCAGACAGTTACTCGAAATTCAACTCATCTCGTCATCCAGTTCATTTATATATATATAACTCGATATCTATCTCGATTACAATTGTTAAATGAAAAAAAAACTATTATTGCAACATATTGCAAGAGTATGTCGTTGTTGGGTCCAATAAGCGAAAAGTCTTTAAAGTCATGGATTTTTTAAAAATAATTCTGAAGATTTATCAATAATTAATAATTGACTTTGTTGAAACTCTAATTTCCATTGTATGGCGCGTAGAGGTGTTATTATTCGTTTCATTTAGTTTTAGTGGTTACACGAAGGCTGCGAAATTTTCAAAAAACCATTGTATAGTTAAAATTTCTTGTTATTAAGCTAAGGATTAGGCCGAATTTAACATTCAATCTTCTTCTGTCCAGTTCGCTTCTTCGATTAGCAAATGAGTTTATCCACAAGCTCTTTCATGACATATGAATGTAAATGAGGCAAGTTGATTTCTTCTTTTTCACGCAGAACTTATCTTTCAAAGTAAAAATTAAAATAGACAGAGGCACTATTTAAGTATCTGTGACCACTGTCGAAAAATGACGGTGGGCGGTATGGCGCCTGACCTTGTATTTGTATTTATGCTTTATAAGTATGTAAATTTGATTACACTCCCTCTTTTGAGATATATGTAGATATTTATATACATACGTATGTACGTTCGTAATCAAACCGTTGTACGCAATTATGGTCTTTTTGGTAATTTACTTAAATTTTGTGCATGACAAAGAGATCTTCTTTCCCACACTTTGCGAGATAATTAAACAATTTTCGAAACTTATTTTTATCCACGTTAATTTATTCAAATTTAATGCTCTTAAACAACAAATTTTAAATAATATAAAAAAGTAAAATTTGGAATTCTCAACAAACGACAACTAGTATCAAGTACTAGTTGTGTTTCTGCACTTGTCAGAAGTTTAAAGTTTTTCGTAAAATTTATCTGAAGGCGTCCCAATACGCAGTTCTTTGGCAGTAATGGCTCATGAACATTCAACTTTCCTCGCTTGGCTTGTCAATTCATATTTTAACAACGAAGTGAAGAAAGCAAAGTCAGAATAAACGTTTTGCTTTCAGTATTTCTCTCTAATTAAACTGGCACAGCGTACAGAGATGAGAGTTGCTTACTCATTCAAATGCATACATCGAACTTTTCTGTCAAAGCAAATGGCTCACGCAAAGCGAAGCAAAAGTTCTATATAAATCAGCTATTACTCTCACAATTTGTCTCAGTCTGAAACTTACAGGAAAAATGTTTGCGAATAAACTCGGGTAAAATTGTCAAAATCCTCTGCTTGGTGTCAAAAAAAATAATAAACGAAACGAAAAACCAGCCAAAGTGCCCCATGTAAATCATGGACTAATCTTAAATTTCAGATTTGCTGAACATAAAATATTTGCATAAATAAGTAAAAGCTCTCTATTATTACAGCTTCTTACCTCTTCTAATAACTAAATTAGTAAAAACACTCTTCAACAGATGTAACAGTTTTTACAACAACATTGCCACATTACCACTATTTTCTATATACAATATTTTAAACAAAAATGTTCAATGGGGAATGTTTTTTATCATTCCAAAAAACATTCTTTGCATTTTTTTTTTTGAAGATTATCTCTTTCAAATGTTGACCGAAGTGTTCTCTCAACAAATCTATTGATTGATGTGATGTGTGCGAAGTGGCACCGTCTTGCTGAAACCAAGTGTCGCCGAGATCACGAGCTTGAATTTTAGTCATCAAATAGTCGGTTATCATATCGCGATAACAGTCGCCATTGACGGTTACGTTCTCACATGCATCATTTTTAAAGAAATATGAACCGATGATTCCACCGGCCCACAAACCCCACACCAAACCGTTGTTTTCTGGATGAAATAGCAGCTCTTCAATCTCTTCAGGTTGCTCTTTGTCCCGAATGCGGCAATTTTGCTTGTTTACATACCCATTGAGCCAGGAATAGGCCTCATCGTTGAACAAAATTTGTTTCGAAAGCGTCGTATCTTCGGCGATGACGGTTGGGAAGGTCGAGCGGCTTCAGTTCTTGCACAAGCTGTATTTTGTACGCTTTCAATTTAAGGTCTCGACGTAAAATGCGCCAAGCCGTTCCATACGTCAGTCCAAGTTGCTGCGAAGAGCGCCGAATCGACTCTCCACGGTCTTCGTGTACACTCTCAGCTACGGCCGCTATATTTTCTGGTGGAGTGCTGGACGTGGTCTATTCGATCGAATATTATCCAATAATGCTGGGTCTCAAGATGGGTGATGGTGTTGCGAATAGTACTCAGTAGGCCGATTATGTTGACCAAGGGTTGAGTGAAGTGCGCGAAACAGATTCTTTACAGAACTTGAATTTTTGTAATAAAGTTGAACGATTTGTAAACGTTGTTCAGGCGTAAGCCTTTCCATGATGAAATGCCAAACAATACTGAACAAAAATAACATGACAGCTTAACACGACTCCACCTCCACTTGGATCACCCGTTATACACTGCCTTCAAAAAATAACATTCTTTCTTTGCGCGCTCAATCCGCGAAACACTGTTTTTATTATTATATTTTTGTTGCAAATTAACACATGTTCAATTGCGATCTCTGACGTGTACAATTCGGTCAGTTCTTTTCGATCTTCTTAATGTGTCGTGCCGAGAAATAAGAAAAACGAATGCTCAGTATAAGAAACGTTTTGAAGCAGCCATTCTAACGATGCATCCAAAATCCATGACCTGCTAAAAAAACTTTAAAGTTTTAAATACGAATTGTACATTTGTGAAGAGGTGGCGTGACCATTATGGAAAAACTGGCAACCTGGATGACCAGCCAGGAAGACGGAGGAATAACGTCATATCTAAAAGTGAGGACAAAACTATTGTTCTCCGTTTTGAGACAAACCATTACCCAGTCTAAGAGGGGCCAAAAGAAAATTTTTTAAAAAGGGATTAGATATGTCCAAACTCAGCAGTACTGTAATGAAACCCTTCTTTTAAAAATTGGAGCAATGTAATATATACAGATGAGTCAACTTTTGTATTGTTCAACCCCTTAAGACGTGTTTGGATAAGAAAAGAGCAAACATTAATTCAAAGGAGTGTTAAGCACCCCCATTAGGAGCATGTTTATGGATGCTTCTCTGCTCATGGATTTAAGGTGCTTCAAAGAAAACCTGAACGCCGTTAGAATTATAAAATGGTATAAAAAGGCTTTATTGAAGTCAGCTGAAATGCTTTACGGCAAAAATAACCATGAGTGGATACTGCAAGAAGACAATGAAACATGGAGTAGACTGTACTCAATGTAAACTAGAAAACCATATTGTTACTTTAGATTGGCCATCACAGTCATCAGACGCCAATCCAATAGAGATTGTTTTGTTTGTTAATACTCTTTTATCACAGTGATTTTAGACTATACTCACATGACTATATACCGGAAAACCGGAAAGCATTGATTGTAAAAATGTCAAATAAGTGACTGTGATGGTTATGTATGTGAAAAGTCTCCAAGGTCTAAAATATGTAAATATGTATGGTAATGACAAGCATACAATTCAGAAAAAAAGTAAATAGTTAAATATCCGATTTGAGTCCTCCCGGTTTTGAAACGGACAACTATGCGGCCCTAGACCAAATAAAAAATTACAACTGAATGCAATTTCGTAAAATTAATAAAGTTCTTAACCCGTTTAACCACTTAACTTTCTTAATTCATAAGATTTCCGTATTTACTTCGCATATAATTTGACTTAAATCTCACTTCCGTTTTTTCTTTGTTGATTTATTAATTACAATCACCTTTGAACATTTAAAAAACTCAATGCCATATTACGGTTAAAGTTTTGAAATTAGGTATTATCGATATCAACTCAATCCATCAAAAAAATTTTGGATGAAGTGTTTTCAAACTTAAATTTTTTTGTGGTATTACGGGTTTCAACCCTGTTCCATGGGAAAGTTAAAATTATTTAAACTGCATTTTTGATAACTCGGCCCGCAAGGAAACAAAGAGTCTGTGGTAATTTTCTTTCATCTCATTTAGTAAAAAACAAAATGATTATTTACTCAAACGAAAATAACTTATGAAGCTGCAACAAGCATTATTTACGATAAAAGCCAGTGAATTGTCAATAAAACTTGGGCTTACTTGGTGTTAGGAAGTTCCAATGGATTTGAGTGATCTCGGTGGATTTTTCGTATGTGCAGTAGAGCAATACTACAGTATATTTTTTAAATTAATCACCTTATCGTGAGCAATAATAATTGAATTTTATGATTTTTCGTTTAAAAATTTTCAGCTTAATTATCTGTGAAATCTTCACTTTCTAGATTGGCAACATCAATGAAACTTCGACTGAAAATAGTTGAAGTTCGTAATACCAAATAAGAGTTTGATTGATCTGAAATTGAATTGCTTAGACTTAAATTCAACTAAGTGGAGTTGACAACCGTAATAGCGGTATAAATCTACCGATTGATTGAAAAGCTTGCTAATAAAATATTTACTTTTCACATATAACTTATGTTGTCTTGTTATTGTTAATGTCGTTGTTCGTATAGTAGCTATTTAACGCATTATTGCGTAAAATAAGAAGCGCTGAGTAAGCACAACAACAGCAAGTTTAAAATAAAAATCAAAGGAAAAGAAATTGTTCCAGGCAGCCGATCACAGTTGTGGTCGATTACGGCGCGCATATATAGCAAACAGTAAAGCAAAATCGTTGACGTTTAGTAGCCGAGACAACCATGACTGACGACACTTGTTGGCACAAATTCATAGTGACAACACCTTACATTACCTAAAATTGCAGTAATACGTAATATGGAAAAATTTGAAATATAAACAACAACAACACCCCCCCCATTGCGAATGTAACAAGCTTGCTGCTTGCTGGCTACGTTGCTGTATTGCATTCCGGTGCACTGTCCCCAGAAATGACAAAATATTATTGTACAAGTAATCCATTAAAAGCGAAAGTGTGTACACCTTCTGCTGCTTTCCATTTTATACCACACATTTTTCATTTCCTCGTTTTAAATGAGGATGGATTTTAAAACTACTATAGCACCTTCAAATGTTACACAGTTATAAAATTAATTGTTTTATTTGTATATTACTTTTTTCAGCTTCGTTGGCCGGCACTCAAGTGGCCCATCAGTTAGTGGTGGCCATCCGTCAGAAATGCACACCCGAGGAGGTAATCAATATTCTGAAGGAGTTGCCGAATTCCGGTGAAAATGCCGATCAGGAAATGTCGGAGACATCATTTAACCCACTTAAAATCGACGTGTTTGTGCAGACGCTACTGAATTTGGGTGCCAAATCGTTCTCGCACAGTTTTGCAGCAATATCGAAATTCCATTTGGTTTTTAAGGTGAGTCAATATGTATACAATTAGGAGAGCGGGATGAAACTTGCCCAATTCAAAAAAAAAAAATTTAAATTTAATGGTGACACTTAACCACCCTCTTAATTTAAATTAAAAACTTTGCTTTGAAAAAAAACCGACTCTTAATTTAAAAGTAAAAAAAAATTTTCTCTGTGTTGTACGCATTTAGAAAATTATATGAAAATATTTCTCTCTGTGTCGTAGACGATACACTCTGTGAATCGACGATTTTAAAATAATGCTGCAGGGCTACTGAAATGAGAAGCCCTTTATGAGACTGACGTCAAAAAATATACAATAAACTCTCGAAAGAATAGTATAAATAAAATCGGCCTTTCTCTGATATCGCCTTCTTGAAAATACATCTAATAAATTATATAAATATTAAATTTGATTATTCAAAATTTTAAGTAAACAGTTAGAGGCACAGCTCTTATAATAACTATATTTATTGTAGTTGATGTATTAATATCAAAAATTTTCAAAATTTTAGTTATTCAAAACATATACGTACAGGTTTGTTGTAAAGTTTCTGCTCTCATCAAGAAATAGCACTACTAGCTCCAATGTTTGTACATCTGTCGTGAGAACACATGCAAAGTTACAAGTAATTCTATCAATTAATTCCTTGTTTACAAGCCATTTGAAGTTGACGTGTCAGAGCATTTTTTTAATATGGAAAAAATTGAATATCGCGCAGTGATTAGATTCTTTGTTTTGAAAGTTTTAAAAGCAAATGAGATTTATGAACAATTGTTAGAAGTGTATAAGGAGTCCTCATTTTTAAAACGCACCGTTGAACTTTGGATTGGTGAATTTAAACGTGATCGTAGTAGGCTTGAAGATGATACTCGCGGAGGACGACCGAAAATCGCAACCACACCAGAAATCATTGAGCAAGTTCATAATAAGTTTGACTAAGCGTGAAATTACATATGAAAAACGCTGTTTGGAAAGTTTGTGCCGCACACGTTAACAATTCAACAAAAACTGTCCTTGTCCTTATAGACCTTGATACAACATATGAATGAAGGACCTCTAAATGGCTTTTTCGAACCCAAGGTCAAATTTCAATATTAGGACTCAAAGCCAAAGCGGTTGGCAAGCATATACTACTCAGGACAACGAGACGAATTGAATTCCAAGTGACTATCTGTCTGTACGAACCATATCTCGAGTAAAATTTTATTTGTGCACTTGTTCGCTGGCACCTTTGGCACATTGGACTATTACCACGCTCACTAAATGCCGTTAATCGAAAACTTATAAAGTGCCATAACTTAGTTACAAATTTAGGTACAAATACCGCTCTAGAGAGGGGCATCTGTGGGCTAAACAATTTTAAAAAGTGGACGGGGCCCCGCTCTATAATAGGTTTAATGTACATATAGAATAGAATAGAATAGAATAGATTAATTTTGAGGTATGCACCGCGACCTATGGTCTATTGTGCCCTCCCCTAAGTTATATCGTATCATCTAGGCCCAGCATGTTGATAAATTCCAAAATTCTGCTGGGTGCTAGTGAGGCGATACAATCCCTATGAGGAAACATGGATCCCAGGGCCTTGATTCTGCGTCTGCAGACTGCTGTGCAGTTCATCAGCAAATGTTCAGGGGTTTCCGGCTCTATGTCGCAGAACCGGCAGTTTGCAAAAGAGGCTATACCCATGTTGAAGAGGTGCTTCTTAAGCCTTCAGTGACCGGTGTAGAACGCGACAAGTAGCCGGAATTTGTTCCTCGGAAGATTAATTATGGTTTTGAACCGTTTGAGGTCGTAACCCCCCATTAGCAGTCTGGCATGGTGCATGCCCTGAAGTTGTTGCCAATGTGTCTCCCTACCTACTCTTTCCTCCCTACGGAGGAGCTCTTTAATTGTATGTGGACTAATCGCTCTAAGTGCCGCCTGACTATCGCTGAGTATAGCAATACTTTTATTGCGATAGTTGAGTTGGAGGTTTATCCCTACACACCGACTTATAGCATAGACCTCGGCTTGGAAGATGCTTGGGAAACTTCCCATGGGAATGTAGAATTTGATGCTTGGCCCAGCGACCCCTGCACCAATCCCCTCCTCTGTTTTTGACCCATATATATGTACATATCTCACAAGCCACTTAAGTTTTTTCAACAAAACTTGCTGGGGATAAGTTTTTCTAGCTCCTCTTCATACACTGAGAAAATGGGAGAATCAAGTTATAACCACGCCCTAGCCCCATAAATTGGTTGAGTTAGAAACTACTAAAATTGCGATAACTCAATCAATAAATGAGTCAGAGACATTAAATTTTTCATCAAATTTCAAATCGAAGACGAGCCAAAACACGTCCAAGGAAAACAGCTGTCAAAAATTAACTAAACATTCAAAATGTCCGACCATGTCAGCATAAGTAAGGGATATGAATACCAACATAACGCAACAAAAGTCGAATTCACGTAGCCCGCGAAAATTCAATTCGCGATAGTTTTTGAAAAAACTCGTAATAATTTTCGTTAATAAAGGAGATAAAGTCTCCGGCTATGTCGATCAATGTGTAAGTTACATTCATGAGTCGAGAAATACTCGAGCATGCTTGAGTTATCTCAAAATAAATCTTTATACGATTATTTCATACCTTCCCTTAGCCCCATATTTCCGACTTTCCAACTGACTTTAAATCGTTCATGTTGGCCAAAATGTGTGAAATTTTAATAAAATTAAGTGGACATGTTTTGTTACATCAAATTAGGTTTAAAGCTGAAAAGAAAGAAGTTGGTCTAAACGCCAAATCCCCAATATAATGATTTCCGATTTTCCGATTTAATGTGGCAACGAAAATAAGTAGTAAATTACCAATAGTATGAGTTAATGAAATTGAAGATTGCAATTCATTGACTATTTCTTCGAATGACAAATGCTGAATTACGTAAAATTGTTTATATATAGTTTTGCTAACGTTGAAAATTTTCCTCGCTTTGAACAGCGTAAATTAAAAGAATATAAAATTTTCTATTACACCCAAACTTAGCCCTTTCATTACTTGTTTTGTTTTTTTTCCGCATGATTTTAAAAAGTTTGAGTATCTGTTTTACTTTAAAACAAGAAAAAACGTTAACTTCGGTTGCGCCGAAGCTATAATACCCTTCACAAATACAAAGGCCCCTTACAAGAACTTGATTCCGAACGTTCAATTTGTATGGAAGCTATATGATATAGTGATCTGATCTGACCAATTTCTGTGGAGAATAATTTGTTGCCTTAAGCAATAACTCGTGCCTAGTTTCGTGAAGATACCTCGTCAAATAAAAAAATTTTCCATGCAAGCACTTTACTCCGATCGTTCAGTTAATATGGCAGCTATATGCTATAGTCATCCGATCTATACAATTTCGTCGGAGATTAGATTAATGCTTTAAATATCAAATCAAAGAGTTTTCCATACAAACACTTGATTCCGATTGTTCAGTTTGTATGGCAGCTATATGTTATAGTGGTCCGATATCGGCCGTTCCGACAAATGAGCAGATCGATAACATAAAAACTGAGGGACTAGTTTGTATATATACAAACGGACAGACAGACAGACGGACATGGCTAAATCAACTCAGCTCATCATGCTGATCATTTATGTATATATTTTATAGGGTCTCCGACGATTCCTTCTGGGTGTTACAAACTTCGTGGCAAACTTAATATACCCTGTTCAGGGTATAAATATAAAGACGAAAGCTATGGTTCACCGATTAAAATGATACTGCGGCTGATGTAGCGACGATAAACATTTCCCAAATAATTTTGAGAAACAACCGAATTGACAGTCTTTATGAGAACGTACTATATTTGTTGCACTAATTGATAACTAAATAATTTTATATGTATAATTCCAAATAAGATAGAATTCAGAGTTTTCAATGTACAAATAATATTTAACAAGTTATTTATTTTTTAGGCACTCGCAGAATCCGAAGAGGCGCAAATTTGCATACTTCACAATGTTTATGAGTTGTGGCAGAATCACCAACAAATGATGGTAGTAATAATCGATAAATTGTTGAAATTGCAAATTGTTGATTGCTCAGCTGTTGCTACATGGATATTCTCCAAGGAGATGACTGGCGAATTTACCAAGATGTATTTGTGGGAGATACTCCATTTGACCATAAAGAAAATGAACAAGCATGTCATAAAATTGAGTAAGTTTGTGCATATCATCTCCTTAAATACAATATGCTTAAATTATATATGAATATTTTTTACTGCAGCTAGTGAATTAACGGATGCTAAAGAGAAGTTAGCTAAAGTGGATTCATCGTCTAGCGAATCAGAGGACGAAACAACGCCAAAGCGCAAAAAGCCCATCAATCACATTGATAAACCAACTGAAGAGGTGCGTTAAATAAATATTAAAATTGCAATAGTGAATGTGCTTGAAAATTAACACGGGTTCAGGTTCTGAATACTCTACAAAGACTAAAACAATTTTTAATGTAATCGCCAAATTTAATAATCTTTAGTCGAAAAATTACATGCTTTCATTTCTGATTTTTTGGACTTTAAATGCGAATACCTCGAAAGAAATCATCTATTCCCCCCATACCCATGTTATCCCCGAATTCAGGGACCCAGCCAGCATATTAAAGGTATTTGTATTTTGAATTTACTGTCGAAACATATACACTGCGCTTTATCAGGTTAGCACACTTCAGATTTAAATAGTTTATGTTAATTTCTATCGAAACTAAAAGAGCTTTCATTTTTAAGTTATTAGCGATTATTAACGAACATTTTTTCTACTAAATAAACAACAATTAGTGTTTTGTTTACATTTTTTTCCATATTCTTTGATACTTTTTTTTTCGAAATCAACAAAAAAATTTATTTAAATTAGGTCATCAGGTTATCACATATTACCCTTTTTTTAATATTCTTTAACATTTTTAGCCAAGAACATATCTTTAAACATATTTACTAACTAATTTAAACATTTGTAAATATTGTTAATAATGAGTCGATCCCGCTTCGTTGAGAATGATCTCGAAGATTCGATTGAGTAGCGGCTCGTAAAATTTTCCAATATAATTCAGAAAAGTTGATGAAGAAGACTTAAATTCCTTCAACTAATTCCTCTTTAGTGAAATACTGCTTGCCAGACTCGAAAACTTTGCGAGCTAACCTTCCCCACCTTTTCTATTACATGGCTGACAGATGATTAAGGCACCCACTCATTAAATCGACGTTTTGTCTTTCAATCCCAGACTTAAATACCCGGGTAGTATGAATCGGAGCTTTATCGTATTGTGCAAAGTTCCAAACAAATTTTTAAAATGGAAAAATGCAGTTTTCAGTAAGTTTTAATACACGTTTGTATTCATACTAGTGTTCAAACATTGCAGGTCGCACGTACCATATTAAAAGATGGCCACTCACATGACTATGTAGTCGTTCCAACTGATGATCCTTCTTCCGAAGATTATGGAAATAATAATTTTATCTATCGGCTCTTCCAAAATATTATTATTTTTCATCTAAAAAGTCAACATAGCGCCAATGTGGTTGTAGTTGTTGTACCGGCAAAATTTTGCCGAGTTGACAGCCTTGGCCGGATAAAATCCGGGTCCGTTCCGGTTACGTAGACACGACTCTCGTGAGAACACCAATAGCGCCAATCAGAACACATGGCATTATGCTCCGGTGCAAAATGTAATCATGTTTCTTTTCGGGGATCCTTACGTGGTGGTTTTACTTTAGTTTTAATAGTTTCAAAATTGGAGGTACCACATTTGCCTTGATGTTGTTGTTGTAGGAGCAGAATTCTGCCGAATTGACAGACCTTGGCCGGATAAAAATCCAGGTCCGTTCTGGTTACGTAGACCCGACTCTCATGGGGACGGCATTTGCCTTGATGCTTGGATGCTTTTCTCAAAATTGCTTTCTTTTTAACATCGGAAATCACTTTATTGTTACCACTTATATTTTTTCGATCGCAATATATAATATTACGCAAGAAATTGTATTTAACTTCTCGACTTCTGCCAACTTTTAAAGCGACTTTATTAGCTTCACCTGTATGTTTGTAGCTTTTTGTACAATTAACAGTTCGCTAGGCACAGCAAAAAATAAACAAAAACATTAAAAAAAAAATGATTCTAAACTAAACAGCTAAAAGCAACGTAAAAAACCCGTCAAAGAGTGTGGTTGTGTTTTTTGATATCATAAGCGAAACATATATATATTATTCATATATTGATTTCCAAAAACCAATAATGTCGTGTCGGGTTGTTAGTATACGGAATAGACAGTGTATAACTTTTTAGTTTTTTTAAACAAATTATTGTAACTCTTCATAAGCTTCGATTATTGCTCTCTCTTTAACCGATAGAAACTTTCCTTTAGCCATATTAAAGAAAATAGAGTACTTGAGCGATACAGTGTCATCTTCAAACTCCGAAGATAAATGCAAATCAAAATGTGCTAACCTGATGACGCAAAAATATAGCACACTTTTCGACTAAAAGGAACTTAATCTAAAACTCACCGATCCAAACAGGGTTAGAACGGTCCTAAATTTTGCAGCCTCAATATGGTCGCCTGGATGCAGTGACACGCAGAAGAAGAAGCTTGAGACCTGTCAGAACACTACACTCCGAACTATCACGGGATGCCTCTTGATGTCTCCAATCGAACACCTACATAGTGAGGCCCGTATGCTTCCGGTTAAGGAACACAACGAACTCCTCTCCAAGCAGTTACTACTGGGGTGTTTTCGTAGAAACCACCCCTGTAGTCGCCTGACTGTGGCGGAGCCGCCTCCTAGGAACATCAAGAGGTCTTTCCTTGACTACGTCGACGACATTAGACAGTACGCCGACCGGACTTCGGACGCAACGAACTTCAGACAGGCACTGACCGCCATTCACAGTGGAGCCATCAACACCTTCACAGACTCCCTCTCAGTGAATGGCGTAATAGGAGTCAAACCACCACCCATAGCAGACATAGAGCTCGAGTTGCCTCGCGAAACCAGAGTGACCCTCGCGCAACTTCGTTCCGGATACTGTAGCAGGTTGAACTCCTACTTATCCAGAATAGACCCCGACATACTAAGCACATGTCCTGCGTGCAATGAGTCTCCGCATGACACTAACCACCTCTTTGCATGCCCAACAAACCCCACCCATCTAACACCCTTCTCCCTATGGTCCGACCCCGTCGAAACAGCTCGTTTCCTGGGCCTCCCGTTAGATCACCTCGACGACAACGAATCTGGAATTTATCACCCAAACGGGGACTAGGTAACCGTTACAACAACAACAACTAAAAGGAACAGAAAATAGCAAAAACAGGACATTCTTATCACATGTTTTCTATACCAGTGATTTTTCATATAAAGATGAGAAAATCAGAAAATAATAAAGTAGCTACAAGTTATTAAAAAAAAATCACAAGCAATTGTATTATGCTGAAGAAGGTGTGCTAACCTATATTGCGTAGTTGTAGAGACTACGACCTACTAATTTCTTAATTTTTTCTAAAATACTAGACTGTAGCTGGACTTTTTTCAAAGATCCTTTAACCCCGAATTTGGTGCTTCGTTAGAATTTAGAGATGCGTTATATAACAGTTTCTGTAGGGCTTTGGGCGAAGATAATCGAATGAACATATACCTATATGGTAATCATCAATTTCTACTCAAGTTGCGTGTCTTAATGAATAGTCAATAAGTGAGATTATCCCACAAATAACTTTATTATAAGTTTTGTTTAGCACGATATATGATTTTCTCGGCGTATTTAAATATATATCTTCATGGTTAGCTAGTCCACTTACATTTATTACCTTCTATGTTTTTTTTTACAGTCGAGATAAATACAATTAGGCCATCTGCAATGCGATTTGAGGGTCGTCTGATACTCCTGTTCGAAACAGTTTTATGTAGGTCCCGTTTAGTATGAGCCATTTTCGTAACCTCGAAAACGCTCGCATTCATACATACGTTTTAACTTAATTTAAATAAACTTTTTTTTTGCATTTTCTCTTTTCATTGTCAAAAGTTCAACGCATTGCGATTTCTGTTTACATTCATTAAAATTAAAGCGACCTAATTTAGCGAAGTCTTTAGTTTCATTTTAATTAATAACACAAAAATTGTAATTAAATATTCAAAACCATTCTGCCATGGCATGGCAACTCACTAGTTTTTGGATTGCATAACTCCGCTACATAATCATTGTTTAAGACGCCGGTTTGGCTGTCCCGCCACTACAGTAAATAGATATATACATATATCGGTTTGGCTGCCCCGCCATAACATATTTATATACCTGTATATTAGGGTGGATCGAAAAAACATTTTTTTTTGCTTAGCCAGGTTAAAGTTTGTAGATTATAAAAAAAGAAATTTTAGCATCTCACTTTTAAAGAAATTTCGAGTTAACATTTTTTTTGGACAAACAAATTTTTTTTGGTTTGAACTCTTCAAATTTATGTAAAAGTTACTGAATTTGACGGTTTTTGACTCAAAATTTATTTTGACGCTTAAGGAAAGCATCTTGTCGTTTAAGACTTTTTTTAAACTCCAATAATGACCACAAAAATTTTGTTTAAGTTAATAACTTTTAATTGGCAAAAAAGAGGACTCTCCACAGCTTCTAGAAACTTATCAAAAAAATTTTACGACCATTTGATTTTTAACTCGAAATTTACTTTAAAATTGAGTGGACCGCCTTTAGATGTTAAAAAAGTTTTTTTTTTTTAATTTCTTTTTTTTTATATCTACAAATTTTACCCTCAGGCTAAGCAAACAAAAAAATTTTTTCGCTCCACCCTAATGTATTGTGTATACATATGTGTGTATACCTATATCTACATCACAGCGTGTATAGGTACGTTTGGTTTGGGTTAACGCTTCGTTTGACATGAGGGAAATTTCAGCAGACTGGCTCACTGTACAGCCGAAATGGCGGAAAATCAAGAATGAAGTCATAAAACTACTTGCTTTGTTTATATTTCCACTATTTATCTACGCCGGATAAAACGCTCTGAAAAGTTACCTGTGTTTGGTGCAAAAGTGCGCGCACACAAATTAATTCGGAGCAATCGCAATCGCTATTGCAAATTTCGTTTAGTTAATATATGTATAAAAATTTCTTATAAAAAATTAGTTGTTGGATTTTAATCATGCTATAATTTTTTTATTAAGTACGATTGCATGTGGTGTCAATAAGGGGGTTTCCCTTAAATGTTTAGAAGGATTTATCAAAGAATAAATCTAAAGCGCGCTGATGAGTATAATGCTAGAGTTGTTTCCTTCTATTGATAATAATATAAATTTTGTTGCGTTAATTCACTCTAAATTAGCTCATAGTTCCTATTCAAGCCTAACCACTACAACGCTTTAAAAACTTTATTCACCAAACACTATTTGACAACCAATTGGTTCAATTAGGAATTGAGAAATTTTACTATTATTAAAATACAATGATATTGCATAAAAAGTTTTAAAATTTTGAGGATATATTTATACATAATGAATGAATGATATTCGCTATTTCCGAAGTTATTAAAAAAAGTCCTCCACTGTTACAGTGATTGCGGCTTTCACCGATTATTAATCTGTAATGTATTGACTATACAGTGAAATTTAAATTTAGCCACATTTCGGATTTTGAAATTAAACTGGCGAATTTTGCTAAAAAAAAGGGTTGATACTTGTATATACAAAACATTTGTAAAATAAGCAGCAAAAAATCAAAGCGATGGGATTATTTGTCTTCGAGGTACAACTTCAGCTAATTTGAAAAATGTAGTTTTGGAAAAAACTCGTTTAAATATAAACTGATTGAAGACACTTTACACTTTTTTACACTTTAGAAGACTGTAACACAGAATATTTTTGAAATATCCGTTTTTTTTAGTATGTTATTAAAATATATAGATTATTTTACGGGTTTCATTAAATATTCACTTAAATGTTTTTAAATAAGTTTCATAAATTTTAGGTGTTTCTTAGAAAAACCTAAATTTGTTTACTATATACACCAGTTAAAGCTTAATATATTATTATATTATATGTATTTTATTAAGGTTTCTAGTTGCACAGAAATCTTCCGGTATCCACATACAATGTGTGTTATTTTTAGACGTGTGGTTTGAAATGATATATTTGAAATATTCTTAAAATAACTCAAAATCGCAGTCGAATACATTTATTTATAAATAGATAAACTATTTTTATTAGTTGGATTTTAGTTTTGAGCTTTACATTATGAAAAATTATAACTAAAAAACTAAATGTGTGAAAAATCGTGTATACAAAAGGAACAGTGGCAACATTGGTGAAATGAAAACAAAAAAAAGAACAAATGATTTCTGCGTTGCAACTACGGGTATAACTTTTGACAAATATGGCTTGATACGGGTGGTAACTTTCGTTGTAGATTTACTTGAGTACCTGCCGGCGACGGCCTTACCTCACGGTGTTCAAAACACAACGGATCAATACAATGCGTTGATCAGCGCCCCAAACAAAACGAGCTTATGCAAGTATTTATTTGGATACCAGTGGCAGTGTGTCTGGGTCCACACTACCATCTTGGTATGATTCGAGGCCGACCTAAAACCTCTTCCGTTTTCGGGTACGGCACCCAGTTACTTGTGTAACTTCTTTTTTCGAACTGAAAATTCAGTTCTTCCAGCATTTAGGTTTAAACCACAGCCACCACGATACTCCCCAAAGGGCCGAACCCAATGAGCAGATTGAACAGAAGTCCAAGGGCTTTCTGCTCCCCGTGGTACCGGAAAGTCTCCGGTCAGACTGCGTAGCCTAAACTACTGCCAGTTGAGCTACCCATTACTCAAATGACTGGTGACATTTGTCGCTTGAACTTCAAATGTCTTTTTATTCGCTTTTTCATTTAAAGTGTTTCTAATATCAGTTCAAGCTGAGTATTATAGCACTATCACTCCATATACTATGCTGATATTACTGGGCAAAGAATATAATAACAGTCATAGTGCATATTGGCTTTTAGTCGCCTTTTACGACAGGCATGCCTTGCCGCGGGCATATTCTATCCCCTGCCCGCAGGGGTATACGGGTGGTAAGTATGGAAGGGATGAATATCAGTGACTGTTTGAAATATAAGACGGCGCTATATGTCAATTTATTGAAGAAAACTTTAGGTGAGCGCCATTATTTCGCGTGATTTAACACCGCTGGACTATTTTTTGTGGAGTTATGTTGCCTACACAAACAAGCCAAAGCATTTGAAAAAGAATATTCGGTGCGTTATTGCTGACATACGACCCCAAATGCTTGGAATTGGAATTTATTTGAGCCATCCACATAATGGCAAACCCTTATCTTTATAATCAAGCTAAATTCTTAGCCAGAACATTAAATTATATGCGTTTTATGTCTTAAAAAACACTTGAATAGCGCTGTGCATTGTAGCGCTTTGACTAATTTTCTAAAATCAGGATTAAAATATATTACTATGATATGATTCGACTGTGACTTGCCGTAACTGAAACCATATTTTCTCCCTGTTGTTTAGTTATAATAAAATGGTACTTCAAAATTATAGACTTCCACATGTACATTTCAAACCTTTTGGAGTAAACTACAAAATTAGGGAGATTTGCAGACTTACATATCTAAATAAGATAATAATTATGGGAATTAATTTCAATACTGTATATTAATTTTTGTTACTTATAATTAATTTTTTTTTAATGTAATATTTTGTGTTTTTCACTTGTTAAAGCTGATTCTTAACTACATTCCCTAAAATAAGAACTGATCACACTTTGTATACTTATGTATATTTTCTTTATTTATCTGCAGATGGTCGAACGTATGGAAGAGAAATTGGAGGCAGCCAATGTGGATCAAAAACGTCTTTTCTTGATCGTTTTCCAACGTTTTATAATGATATTGTCGGAACATTTGGTACGTTCTGACACAGACGGACGCGATCCGGACACCGATTGGTATCGCTGGACCATTGGTCGTCTACAGCAAGTATTTCTAATGGTAAGCGGACCTATAATAAATATTACTTAAATTTTTAATTTGAAATTTCGTTTTCATTTCTAACAGCACCACGAACAAGTGCAAAAGTATAGTAGTACACTTGAGACGCTGCTTTTCACATCGGACTTGGACTCGCACATATTGGAAGTGTTTCATCAGTTTGTAGCTTTAAGGGCTTAAAACAATTACTTTTATTTATGACTACATTTTTTATGCGGTCCATCTATTCGCAAGCCGAATCATAAGTAAACGAGTGAACCCTAAAATAAAATAACTGTACTGGGCAATATTTCTTTTAAAACTATCTAATATCTGCTGTCAAATATAATATAGATTCATTTGTGAAAAATGTTAAACGAACTGACTAACTTTACCAACATTTAGTTAGAATATATTTGAAATAGTAATGGAGTTCAATGTTTCATTGGTGTAAACTTTTCTAAAAATGTAAATGCGAAGAATTGTAATATTGCGTGATAACTCTGTTAAATTAGACCCGAAAATAAGAATAAATTTACAAGAAACTAAAAGTTAGAGAATATATTCAAAACATGATTAAAAATAACTTACTAAAACTTCTCATTGTTCCGACATGTGGAAAAAACATTGTTTCAGAAACGGTGGCTCATAGGATGCATTTTTAGGGATAATTTTATGAGTTAGAAGGTTTGTCTGAGGCTGAAAATACCGAAAAACACATTTTTGACCTTTGACCTCGAGAATTTTTTTCCACGTTTCGAAATGATGAAAAGTTTTAGTATGTTATTTTAAATAATGTTTCGAATACGTTATCTAGCTTTTAGCTTGTAAATATTTGTATCCTTGAATGTATTGATTGACCGGATTTTCATTTCAGACATTTAACAGCAAATTTAATTTTCAATGAAATTACAACAAATATATGCAAATAGAAAGTGATAAAACAAATCATTTATTTTTCGCACGAAAAATTTGTATGAAAGAATAATGTTGTCTAATATTTAATGAGCCTTAGCGATCAAAAGTTTTGCATAGTGTATGTCTTTTAATGGCTGACATTATATAACATAAACAAAACTCCTCTTCCCTATGATGCAACTTTTTTGTATGTGGTATACGTCGTGATGTATTCTCACTACGAAAGGGTCCTACAATGTCCTAAGAATAAGTATCTTTCTCGCTTCTTCTCTGCAAGGAGCCTAATAGCCTCCCCCTAAATCACAGCGACCATATTTACGTACTGTACGAAGGAGTACTGACTGGATCTTAATATCACAGTTGATGGCATTATAATTCCGACTCAACAATGGTAAGATCTTAGGCGCTACACTTGACAACCTGTGCTCCTTCACTCCACACCGCAACAACATCCCAAAGTCGCTAGACGGCAGCAGCTGGGTAAAGAATAAAGAAACATTGTTGGAAACTTACAAGAGACGCAGACGAAAAAGCTTCAGACGTGTAGAAAACTACACTCCGTTCGATTACAGAATGTCTCCTGGTTCTACCGTTAGTTGACAACCAACTTGAACCTTACCACCCAAACGTGAATTAGATAACCGCAACAATAATTGCCCCGCGAATCTAGAGTGACCCTGCGCGGCTTCGTTTCGGATATATGTAGTATAAGTCTCCGCATGACCAACCAAGGTTCGTTCGAGCTACGTAATAATTGCAGCAGTACAGCTACTGTGTTGCATTTTTGCTGATACTCTGCTGATGTGCAGACAAAAGTTTAGTGTTGCCGATTATTTGCATAAATTGCGTGCAAAAAGTTACAGTAGAACGTGATGCTGTTGCAAGTTTTGCCAAAAATTCACGCAGAATGTGATACTTTGACAAATTTGCAACACTGCTGTCGTGATAGCCATCTCGAACGCACCCCACCTCTTTGTATGCCCCACTCATCTAACACCCCTCTCCATATTTTCCGCTGTGTAAACAGCAGGTTTCCTGAGCTTTAGATGACTTCGGTGACAACCAACATGAATCTTACCACCCAAGCGTAGATTAGAAAACCGCTACAACAACAAGTTAAATCCACTTTTTAGGATCTGGATTTATATATTTTCAATTGCAGGTTTAACATGTATGTCGAAGTATAACGACCTTTAGAGATAGGCAACTAGCCCAGAGCGGCAACAACCATGTTTCATGTTTGAACTAATCATGAATGCCTATGGTAAGACATTATTTAAAAAACTAAAGTGCTTCTGTTGTAATGTAAGTATTACTTGATAATAAATTGCAAACATTCCCTCTTTCGTTTTTCAATAGTTTATTTATGTTTTGTTCATTTACTTTCAAAAAGGTATTTACACGAGATTCTTATACAATTCATATATTATTGTTGTAAATGAATATTTTGTCTTATGCTGAAATTTTAAAATGCGGATACACGTACTTATTCTTCTATCAATGAATGAATATTTATTTTTAAAAGTATATGTTGCTTTTAATGTTTTATAACTTTTTAAGCTTACATAAATATAAGTAAAACGAACATATGTTTAATTATCATAAGTATAGTGCAATGAGTTTATAATTAACGTATTTAAAATAGTTCCAGTAAAGTTTAAGATTACAAATAATCATCTAAAAGTACGGGCGTTTTCGGTAATGCAAACTGCGTAGTATCAAACCTGTCTTTGCCAAAATTGAAAGCATTACTGTCGGCTGTTGCGCAAAAACGCGCAAAACTTGCAACATTTGAATAGTAGTAGCACAAAATTACACCAAAACCAATGTGCTAGCTAAAATGTCATTGTAAGGGTAACTATAATTTTAATATTATTGTTTTATTATGCTAGTGGATTTTTTTTTTAATTTTATAGGATATAGTAGAAAGAGATTTCGTCAAGTGCCCTACAGCTATCACTTTTGGAATAATTCGTTTGACTTTAAAGCTATTCGCAATTAATAATTTTCATATTTGCACGATTCATTCTTTTTTGTAGCTTTCTAACATAAATCGAAAATGTTTGTTATCTAACTATCAGTGAGAGTTTTAATAAGAAATATATCGTACATTTTTATGTTTGAACAATGTTTGATAACATTTTCCATTCTAGCCAGATCAGTCAAAATAAAAATAGTTGGGCATTTAAATTGAAACACCCAACATTTATTAAGATTATTAATTATTATATATATGTATACCGTTTAACAGGTGGAGAAACTATTTATATCCTTTTTTGTGATTTTGTGATATATTAAAACAACTGATTTTTTAATATTCAATACTTAATCAAAAGAATAAATGTATAAGCTCTAAATAAATTTTTAATTGAAAATTAATACTACTAAGCATGGCATTACAAAAAAATTTCATTACATTTCGCGATTTATTTAATTTTCATTGTTTTTCAATATTTTATCTTCAATAACGGCAACAAATCTCTCTGTTAACACCTTTTTTTTTTGGTAGGATTTCAATCTGTTTTGACGTTTAGCAATTGCTCTCTTATTTCCAATGAGATATTAGTAGGGCATCTCTATATCACTGATAAAATCAGCAGCGCAAACTGCGCAGTGTTACCAGTACTTACTGCATTACCGAAAAATTTCTATATGATCAACAATATAATATTATAAAAGTAGTAAAAATATAAAAAAAAATTAAAATTCAAAGGAAAAATTAAAATTAACATTTGTTTTTAACTAAAGTCAGGCCGAGAATAATTTCATCCATTTATTTAAAAAATATGAGAGGACTACCATATTTTAGCGTCCCTCTTTGTTTATTTCTTATGCACAGACACATTATCCACATTACTGTGAATTTTTCCTTTATCGTGTTTTTCCCATTATGGATAACCCAGTAACTCCTGCCTTTTTTTGTTTTTAGTCTGCAATCTAATTTTTTGCTTCATACGGTTGCGAGAAAGTTCCACATATTTTTTTACATTCAGCTCAAAAGTTTTTCCGTCAGCCTGGAACGTCTCTGAATTGAAAGGAACTGTATTAAAATAACACATTAATAAAAAATGCAAATTTCACTTACCAAACAAAACTTGATTAATTATTTTTAAAGTATTAAGCGCCTTTTTCCCCCATCGACCATCCCAATTAAAACTTTGCATTAGTGTGTCCGTAAAAATCCGACGAAGTACTCCATCGACGCTGTTGCACAAATCTTTCAACTTATCAATATAAGCGACCTATTGAGAGAATAAGTTTACCGTTAATATACATATATTTTTTTAAAGTCAAATTAGTGTTAAACAAAACAATATTCTTTTTATGGCGAACGTATATATGTAGTATAATTACCATTGACTTGTTATACTGTTTCATATTTAGTTTCTCTTCCACTTCCAAAAGAGCATCCATTGTTACAAGAGGAAATCTAGACGCGATCTCATCAACAGTGACATCTTCTATTTCTCCAGACATACGACCACCTGCATGGAACTTTTTTACCATTATCCTGCGCTCACGTGTATTTTTGTTTTGAACCATAGCTTGGCTCCTTTGGATAATCTAAGATACAATGAAAATTAAAAGTAATTATTCTGATTTAACTTTACAACTTACTTTTCAATTAAAAAACAATCACTTACATCTTTCAATATTACGGATTCAGTGTTGAACACGCTGTTCTCTATTTGCCCGATCCGCTTTTCAAGTGAATCCTGTTTTTTTATAATGATTTTTAAAAGAGATAGGACCTCTGAAAATACATAATGCACATCAAAAATATCAAAACATTTATAAATTTTTCTTTTGATGTGACTTTTGTACACTTTTTTTTTACTTACCTGTATTGTTTTCAGATGGAATATTTTCATACCCACAATTTGTTTTACTTTTACATGGCTGTCTTTCGTAAGGTGTGCTTGTATGGAATTTCTTCCGAGCAGTTGCTTGGACTTAAAATATTAATAGTTATTATAAAGTAATAGTTAATGCTATATATAATAAAGTACCTTTTCCTTTTGAATGCTTTGACGTACTCTGCACAAATCTGTCGTCCATTTTTATATTATTGTTATTTTATTCTAGTGTAAAAAATTATATGTGAGAGCTGTTATTAGTTTCAAATTTAATTTAATAAAAAGCGTATACGTTGTTCAGATTGTTTGTAAAATCATGGAATAAGTGACGTAAAATTGGTATATAAAATACTTACTTCTGGTGTGAAATACAAAAACATTTAATAATGATATCATCTTTATTAACGTGCCCACCTAACAATATTCCTGTACTCTCAAATGAATATACTCGATTAACATATCGGCTGCAATTATTTCTTCTTTATTAAAAGTTTTAATTGGACTTGTCATCTTACTGAAACAGTAGTAATCGTAACAACAATTTTTTTGAGAATTTTTTAATGTTCAGTAGATTATTCTCAAATTTATTTGATACTTCTGAGGGGGCAAAAGCTATGTACATTATAACTAACTTAATGATAATATGTTAAATATATTAGTTATTGAACAAGTTATTCTAAAAGTTAAAGAAAGCTTTGGCTTGAATAATAATTGCTTCCCGATTGACAAGATTCTAATCTCAACATAAAGCAAAACAAAATTATAACACAATGTACTGCCGACACAATCCCTTAATACGAATAATAATAGAGATAATCTAAACTCCGTGGCTTTCCAATTCTACATTTGAACTAAATTTCTAGAAACTCTTCCAAATTCTTCTGGAACAAACTTATTATTTAACTGATTATGTTTCAATTCGCTTAGGTCATTTTTAATAAATAATTGAAGCAGATCATTGAACAAACTTATTATTTAACTGACTATTATGTTTCAATTCGCTTAGGCCATTTTTAATAAATAATTGAAGCAGATCATTATCCCTAAATCCAATAAATGCATAGTAAAACATTTGAAAATTAGCAATTTCTACGATTCTTAGAATAATTTAAGGGCCCTCCTTCAGTTGTAAAGGTTCTTTGAAACTCTTAGTGTGTTTTCTACATATATCCTATCAATCTTTATCTATAATTGAGACAGCTCATTACAAAGATATTTTTAAAAAAATCGTACTTTTTTCTATTTGTCATTTCCGTAAAGCAAGCTATGAAAGGGCGTTTTCTATAAACCTAACCTACGATTACCCTCCTCCGCCTAACTAACGCGACGGGCTGGGAAAGAAAAGGCAAAAGGTTTTTTAAGTGTTGAGATCTAAAATTGCTCAGCTACAGAAACAAAAATTTCAACAGGCGGTGGTTTGACTCCTAGTACGCCATTCACTGAGAGGGAGTCGATGAAGGTTTTGATGGCTCGACTATGATTGGCAGTCAGTGATTGTCTGAAGTTCGTTGCGTCCTAAGTCCGGTCGGCGTACTGTCTGATGTCGTCGACGTAATCAAGGAAGGACCTCTTGATGTTCCTAGGAGGCGGCTCCGCTACAGTCAGGCGACTACAGGGGTGGTTTCTGCCAACACCCCAGCAGAAACTGCTTGGAGAGGAGCTTATTATGTTCCTTAACCGGAAGTATAACGGCCTCACTGCGCAGGTGTTCTATTGGGGACATCAAGAGGCATCCCGTGATAGTCCGGAGTGCAGTGTCTTGAAAAGTCTGAAGCTTCTTCGTCTGCGTTGCACTACATCCAGGCGACCATATTGGTGATGCATAGTTTAGGACCGGCCGGCCGATTGTCTTGTATGTTGCCAACAACGTTTGTTTGTCTTTTCCCCAAGAGCTACCGGCAAGCGATTTGAGGATTTTGTTGCGGCTCTATACTTTGGCAGTTATCGCGGTCGTAAGAGGAGTGAAGGAGCACAGACTGTTGTTGTTGTTGTTGTAACGGTTACCTAGTCCCCGTTTGGGTGATAAATTCCAGATTCGTTGTCGTCGAGGTCATCTAACGGGAGGCCCAGGAACGAGCTGTTTCGACGGGGTCGGACCATAGGGAGAAGGGTGTTAGATGAGTGAGGTTTGTTGGGCATGCAAAGAGGTGGTTAGTGTCATGCGGAGACTCATTGCACGCAGGACATGTGTTTGGTATGTCGGGGTCTATTCTGGATAAGTAGGAGTTTAACCTGCTACAGTATACAGAATGAAGTTGCGCGAGGGTCACTCTGGTTTCGCACAGACTGTCTAATGTTACGCCTAAAATTTTAGGGTTGTTGACTGCCGGAATTTTTGTGCCATCGACTGAATTTTTCAGATCCAGTCTGTACTCCTTCGTCCAGTTTGTAAAAATGGTTGCTGTAGATTTAGTGGGGGGGATGTCAGACTCCTTGCAGAGAAGAAGCGAGAAAGGTCGGAGAGACGCAGTTTACTGATGATTACTATCCCGTACATTACATAATACGAGTCCTCTGGTAAAACAAGAGAATTACTCTACGAAAATCCCTTTTTAATCCCTGAACAGGGTTAGTTTGCCACAAAGTAAAACATTTAAATAAGCATGTAACGACATTTTTATACCCTTGCGTATAGCTTGTATAAGAAATACACCTCTGATGGATATTATTGCTTCGGTGCAGCCAAAGTTACCCTCTTCGTATTTAAATTTTTAAAATTTAAATCGTTTTTTGTTTTCAGTTCTTTTATTTTAAGAAAAGTATTTGTGTAAAAGCAGGTACAATATACTTATTTTCTCTTCAATGAATGAGTATATAATTAAATATTAACAAAAAGAAACGTTAGCTTCGGTTGCAGAGAAGCCCTTCACAAATACAAAAGATTCCTTTCAAGAACTCGATTCTGATCGGTCAATATGTATGGCAGCTACATGCTATAATTGTCCGATCTGATTGCACTATTGCACGAGATGTACGTGAACTGAATGAATATATTTGTGTAGAAAGGAGTTCGACGCGAAAAAACCATGAACACCCTGATTTTGGACCGACCAGGATTATATTTTTAAGGCGTGACCGAAGGTCGCTGATGCATGAAGGAGTGCGACGCGAAATAATATATTACACATCTCTATTGAGTCGCAAATGTAAACAAACAAATCTCGTGGAACTGTAATTATGCTAAGTAATTTTAAAGTACATTTATTTTCTTAAAAATACGCATAATAAATCCATATTTTGGATATATTTCAAGGTATGCAAAATAATTGCTAATGTCTTAATTGAAAAAAGTATGCAAAGTGTGTGCCCAAGTCTTTCGGACTCTATATATTTTTAAGAGACTTTTCATAGCAGACTTGAAATAAAGTATAATGTACATGAATTAGGTTTTATAATATAATTTAAATCTCTACAAATACAAATAAAATTGTAAATTATAAATTGCGACACAAAAGCTTAGAATTCTCTCGAACTCTTTTTCAAATTTAAACTTCGCTAAGGCTAAAAACGTTACCATATACATACTTATATATTTGGTCGCATGTGTAAACAAATTTGTTATGAATGGTAAAAAAATGTTGGTACAGAACATCCAAGTAAAATATTATAATGTAAGAAATGTGAATTAAATATTGATATTTATTGTAGATTTTCGTATGAAGCGTTAATACCGATGTATATGTATTATAACCTAATACCTTATATTAAAAGTTAGTAACTATGGGTAAATGTATACATAGTTTAGTTCTCCAAACGAAGGAGATGGCGAAAATTATAAATTTTTTTAAATCGTCTTGTTTTGACGCGAAGATTATAAATCCACGACCGGAAAGTCGATTTTGACAATAATTCTATTTTGTTTTATTTAATTTTAATTAATTTGTGGGTAGTAACCCCTGTCTTCAATGGCGGCTTCCGGCCGCGCTTCAAAAAAATAACTTGGGCGGTCCGAAACCAGGGTGTTCATAATCCATTCGCATCGATCTCCTTTCACCACGCAAAAGTTCGATGTAAAAGAACTATGGACACTCCGGTGTTGGATCGACCAGAGTTATTTCTTTGAAGCGCGGCCGAAGACCGCCAATAAGGCAAACTTAATCTAAAACTCACCGATCCAAACAGGGTTGCCCCTCGCGCAACTTCGTTCCGGATACTGTAGCAGGTTAAACTCCTACTAATCCAGAATAGACCCCGACATACTAAACACATGTCCTGCGTGCAATGAGTCTCCGCATGACACTAACCACCTCTTTGCATGCCCAACAAACCCCACTCACCTAACACCCTTCTCCCTATGGTAATACCCCGTCGAAACAGCTCGTTTCCTGGGCCCCCGTTAGATGACCTCGACGACAACGAATCTGGAATTTATCACCCAAACGGGGACTAGGTAACCGTTACAACAACACGGCAGTCGGGTCTACGTAACCGGAACGGACCCGGATTAATTCCGTCTAAAGACTGTCCACTCGGCAGAATTCTGCCGCTGCAACAACAACAACCGCCAATAAGGAAAGGAATTCGACGATCTCCTCTATTCGTCCATACCGTCAGATCTATTTTGTTGAACTTGTAATTAGAGCTAAGAGATCTGAAATCTGCAGAATTCTGCCCCTACAACAACAACTTGGATACTTGAAAAATATGTGCAAAGTGTGTTTTATATACTTTTATATATATATACATAAATTATTGAAAAAATTTCCTTTCCGCTCACAGATTTGTAATCCTGTCAAAACATTCATTTTTGAGGCCTCCTTCGTTGGGGACCTAAACTATACATTTACCTATGTTCTTGAATATCAATTACTTTGCCTTTTAAAAGCAACAACCTCAACCGTAGTAACTAAACCAACAAAAAAAAAAATTTTATGTAACAGTAAACAATGGTGTAACATGTATTTCTCCTTAAATCGTGCTCTTAATCTCGCAGACTCTTCTGAGCAGTCTAAGTGGTCTAAAGTTTGTACAATGGAGCTGAAGATTAAAAAAACGTATTTAAAATGGATGGAGGATGTGAATGTGGTAGTACTACCATTTTTTTAACATTCTTTACATGGTTGCTCTTACAGGAATTTAATCGACGATTGCACTATGAGCACTACCCAAATCCAGCAGGTAATACGTATACTAATATACTCACTCATACATTGCAAAAAGCACAAGATTATGTGTAGCCAAAAGTTTCTGGTAGTTTAGTGAACTCGGCATTAAGAAACTCAAAAAATTAAACAGAAACTTCTGGTAGGACTATATGGTAATTACCTTTGATTTAACCGATAGTTGACCGTCGTACGCGAAATTGTTAACCAGTTGCCGAAAAGACTTTGATCCATTACTCTACACCAAGCAACGTAATTCACTTAATTTACACTTTTTAAGAATTCTTTTAATTCCGCATCGCTGACTGGAAAAATTTTGTTATTAATTTTATTAGTTTTAATAACTTTACTAACCTTGTATTATAACCACTGCGCTTTTCAAAATAAATTATTATTTCCACACCAACTGCGATTGAGCTCAAAACAAAAATGGTTGAAATGATATTAGCTTTGGTTGTCTCTTTCATTCTTTCAATATTTACTACGAAAGAAAAGCTAGCGCAAATACTTTAGTCTGAGTTCAAACAAGGAAATTTTGTTCTTTATTAGAGCCTGTTCAAATAGGGAACTTTTGTAGCGGAAACTCTGATTTTTGGAGGAGTACATTAGAAAGGACAAGAGCACCGCGTTGCTCGTTTTTTTTAAACTATAGTAAAACTTAACGAATCAACCAGGGTTAGATCTCCGAAATAACAGTATTCTTCGTGTTGCCGATGTTCTCGTTGTAGCGACAAAAGACCTTCCCGAAATAGTTCTTGGTTTCAGTGCGTCCTGTTTCATATGCATATTTGCAATATATCCGGAAATTTCAGTTTTATCATCTGTTTTTTTTATGTAATACTGAAATATGTTAACAAATATACTTACATCCGATAATGAGGAGCAAACGTTTTTAGGTCTGAACTCAGAATATTGTGACGAACACGGATGATAGAACAAAATCGAATCGACGATAAATTGCCAGAAGCAACTAGACAGCAAATTCGTAGTGGCCAGAATGTTCGAGAAGCAATGTTTTGTTACAGATTTACTATATAAGGGCTGCCGGATTGTGCAGCAAACACAGTTCTAGTTAGAGTGTTGTCGTGATAAGAGCAATTAAGCTATAAGCAAGAAGTTGTAAGCTCGAATAATGAGCAATAAGTGTTAAGTTGTTGGAATAGAAATAAAGATAAGTGTGTAGCCATTAAATTGGGACTTTTATTTAACAATCCAGTGATCGAACTCAAGAGTGTGTTACAGGTAGACGATTTATCGAGAAATCCGTTACAATATGAAGCCATCCGACTAACAATGGCGCCTTATATTATAGAATGAGAAGAGGCAACATAGAAGAACTGTCTTTAAGGCTGCGTGCCAAACGATAACAGTTTTCCTTGTGTTGAGTTGGGATGAAAAAACGTCGTAGGTGTAAACAAAATTTCCACTTGGTACAGTAAAATTTTGACAGTTGAAGGTCAAAACAAATGCAAATGCGTCGTTTGAATGTTTACCTTGTTATTACAATAATAAAATATATTCCTCAATGATAACAATATTAATGACACTAGAAAAAGTCATTAATTTGAAGATTTGTTATTAATTGAGAATTTGAGGCAACGTGCTAGGCTACTACGACGCTACTAGTATTTGCTATACATATGTATGTACATGCATAATTATATCTTCTTATATACATACATACATAATTTTCATTAAGATTTTTTAATCAACTAAAAAAATATTACTTTACTTAATTCTTTCTACTTAATTTTACGTGTATGCTTACATAATCTTCATTAAGATTTTTTAATCAACTAAGAAATATTATTTTTACTTAATTCTTTCAACTTAATTTTAGTTTGCAATATTTTGACTAAATAAAAATTTAAAAGGAGTCAAGAACTTTCAAAATTCAAAATTTCACTTGTGAGAGTTTTTATATTTTTACGGTTTGTCACACAGCCTTATAGATGTGAATACAGATATGCATTCAGAAGTAAACGAGTTGAAATGAACCGCCGCAGGCACATTAAAAAAGTAAAAATAATGGGAAATAAAAAAAAACGAAAGAATTTATGTAAGATATAAGTCATAAGATATAATATTATTATTTAGTAAAAATTAAATTTTTAATATTATGCGTATTCAACTTAAAGAGGATCTTGCAGAAAAGCTATTGAATATAAAAAAAAAACCTAATGCTTATATAGCATTTCATTATAAAGAACTAAAAAATGTCAACCTTTATTTTGAAAAAATGATAGAGTATATACACACACACAACAAAATGTAATAATTTGTTTACACTATAGGTAATTTTGTACCTCTATTCCCTATAGTGGATGATTAATGACGTTATTTCGATGTTTTCCGTAATAGTTTCTTTCATATTAAACAAATATGTTCTTATATAAATAGTTCTGACATACTTATGTACATACATATATGAAATTATTGTTAAACGAATGGAGAACTAAAAGTTAGCGTAATCTGTAATTCTATTCTTCTTGACCAATATGGACTCCTATGTTAATCAGGTCAAGGAATGTTAACGTGACAGCATTCCTCGAAATAATTTGGGAATTGATTTCTGGTGCTACAAATAGAATAACTACACGAGCTTTCAAAGACGCAGGACGCTCCCTCTTCCTCAGACTACGAGATGACGCAAAAAAAGTTGTAAGTATTGGAGTTTCGGGTAGTCGCAACTTAGTGGATTCAGCTACCCAATATACTTAATTAAAACTGAACCTTTTAAACAAATCGAAATTATCCGTACTATATTAACTATAAAATTAATAAAGTAAAAATATACATGGGGCTGACATAATACAGTAACAAATACTTCTGTATAATTTCCATATAAATTAAATAGTTTCTTAATTCCTTCCAACTTCACATACAATAATAAGGCAAAGTAATAAAAAATTAATAAAACTACAGTTCGTCTAAAGCTTACATTTATTGCTGTCACTTTTTATTTTCTTCATAATTAAATACTTTTCACCTCTGTGTCAATTCAACTTAACTAATATCATTTTTATACAAAATTCAATTCATACAAAAATTTTAATTTACTTTACAAGCTAGTATGCACTTAAATTTATGCAAACTGTATAAAAAAATAAAGAGAATAAATATCTTCGAAAATAATTATTGTAGTACAATTCCTAATATGTATGCATTTTAAATCTGCTATCAAAATACACAAAGCCTTCAGATGCATTTTATTTGGCTGCCATCGTCAATGTCATATATCATATATTTTTAAAATGTTTCCCGGAAAGGGATAGATAACTATGCTCGTACTTCTTTTACTTTAAGAAGAAGTCTTTACAAAGGATTTCAAAATTTGAGTTGCACTGTTGTCAACCAAATTTAATCCCAATTGGTAAATCAGTATGTGGATTATTTATTAAAAATTTATATTTATATTAAGTTGTAGAGAAATTTGTGTGCATAGAATACTTTAAAGGCACTTTGGGGCATGTACTCGCACTTTAAAACTTAATACCAAAATTTGCAACATATTGTTGTCCATGTTGATCATGTGCGTATCCGTGTAAATATAACAAAAAGTAAATAATCTATCCGCTTAAATACATTTACTGTAAACATGTTACAAAATATTGGATTTTTATGCTTATACTGCTATATCAGATTGTATGTATGTTTTAACAATTCTATTGGTTGCAGGATATTAATCTAATTGTATTCTTGACGTGGGAAATAGTTAGGCATCAGAACATGTATCAAAACACCAGTCATCATTAGTGAAAAGTAAAGTATAATGGCGATCCACCAGAGTATTCTTTCCCAACGACGTACTTCCAGATTTCGCAGCACCCCTATGCCTACCAGCAGACCCGCGACGGCGCCAGATAAATGCGCAATGTAACCAATTTGATCGTGCTGATCTGTCAAATGGCGATAAACAGAAGTACCCAAGTCCGTAAAGCAGAATATAAGAAATACAAATAATTGCACTATGGCGTACTCCATTTCCTTATAATTCTGCATTGGATATAAACGGAAAGAAATGATTATATGTATTTTGTTTTAGAATGTATTAAAATGCAATAATTAACCAGAATTATGGTGGCAATGTGCGCTGTGATTAACGCATAAACGCCACCAGAGGCACCGGCTAAGAAAATGCGCGGACTTGTCAGTGAAGTGCCCATCGAGCCTGCCAATACACCAGCCAAGTAAATCAAAGCTACACGCCACCAATGATGTACCAGTTCCAAAGCGACGCCCAGAAATATTTGTATGATAAGGTTCATGAAGAGATGCATTAAGCCGACATGCACAAACATGTATGTGACGAAACGCCAAGCCTCGTAACGCTTGTATGGATTGTAAATGAAGACAGTCGCAGCGGGGCCATTCGTATTTTCACCTATATTAGCAGTGTTGTTAGGATCGTCTCTGCAAAAAATATAGCCAGGTTTAAAAAAATTAGTAACAAAAAATGTCTCGTTTTAAAAGTTAAATTTATACAAGCGACGTTAAAAAAAGAAAAGGTGTGTAAAGGATAAAAGAGCAGCAAGTCTTCCAGAAATTTTACATTGCTTCAAAAAAATATGTTAGATGATTCAACAAGATTAGATGATTAATCTTGTATAAACATTTTATTATTTAGTTAAAAATAAGAAAATTTGTTAACCATGTCCAGTTGGATTTAACCGTACATTACACAATGAAAAAAATTGCTTTCGAGTTATAATACAGTCACACTTTTCTACTACCACACTCTCGTCACACGACGTCCTAATATCAATTTTTTCATTCATGTTGTGGGGCTGGTTGACGATCAACTTAAAAGATAGTCTCGCAAGTCGCCATGCAATTGTCGGGAATATGAATATTTCGTTATATTCATAAATTTGAATCAAAATAAAGGTATATCAATAAATTTTTGCAGAAGTTAAAATCTCTGTATCTCTCGAATAGGTATAGTGCAGAACAAGTAAAGTTGAAAAAGTCAAAATCTGGATTTTGAATATACTCTATAGTTGTTTTTGTACAACAAGATTGCCTTTTCCAACTCATCTCTTTTTTCCCATTCCATCTTTCCGTTGTATTATTAAGTTTTTGCAAAACTTGCAAGTATTTTAAGTGGTTTCCATGACGACGGCATCTTGAAACTATTTGTTGTCAATTTACATCAATTTTGACAAGTATTCTGTGTGATCAATTTGACCGTATAACTGCTGCGTAAAAATCAAAAATTTGGATTCGGAAATTAACAATTAGAAGCGAGTTTGCTATATGTAGCCTATCGTTTATCGATATTGATTAAAGTTATAAAACGGTTGATACCATGGCTCTCAGTGTAAAGATATTTTTTATTAGCTACACGATTGTTTGTAATGTTATTGATTCTATGCAAAACTATCCATAAATCATTTGTTTTTGCAATTATGAAATCTCACTACATCTTTTTTTTTCAATCAATAAATGAAAAAATTAAAGTGTAAGTTGTACTGTAGAACACTAGAAATATGCCTATTGAATACTAATAAAAATTAAAAACTGTTAACATTATTATTTTATATTTTATTTTACAATGAATAATTTTAATATATGTATAGTATACTTTTATACGTTTGTTGAAATGGCGGGCTCTTTTAAATAGCACAAAAAATTCCAGTTTTTTAACAGATTTTGCTAATTTTTGTAATATTTTCTTACTAAAATTTTTAAATTACTTCTTGCTAAGTTTATACTCACTGAAAATGTATGACATCCACCAAGAAGAATAAAATTTCAATTATGGAGAACATAACCATAGTCAGTGGCGGTGGACAGACTGACATTTGCTTTTCATAGACACCATCTGCATGCATAAATATTAAAAAAAAAAACAATAAAAATTAAAAATCATGTTGGAACATAATTTCCACACTTACCTAGTTGGTCACCTTCGATTGCTTTTGGCGGCGGAACAACCAAGCGACAGTATTTTGTAAGAATATTCCTTATCATCCATTTGTGAGTTTGGGACATTTGATAAAATTCCTCGAAATTCAAACGCCCATCACTATCATCATCTGACATTTGAAGAATTTGCGATGCAATGTAATCAGGAATATCACTGCAGAGGCCTGCATTGATAAGGCCTTTAAGTTCGTGAATATTAATGAAGCCATCGCCATCTGAATCATGCTAAAATATTATAAATATTGTTACGTTATTATGTTGTTTTAAATACACTTTTAAGTTAGTAGTATAGAATTCAAGAGGTTTTCCGATTTTAAGTCCTATAAAGTATCATCCTAATTGACAAATACAAGTATCGCATATTTTGTTCGCAAGTCTATCTTAAAAAATGCGTAGCTTATAAATCGTGAAAACTATATTCGATGAATAGTTTTAGATAAACTTTACGCTATATATGGTTGTGTATTACGAACGTGTATGGACTGATGTGATATGATTACTTCACAGTTGACATCAATTTAAAGTGCGCGAGATTAACAAAGAGTACAAATATAACAAGAATTAAACATTGTTAAATTAATTATACCATATTAATAGTCACATATATGTATAAGTAAATGTTTTTAAATGGTTTATGGATTGTCAAAAAAAATACCCCACTAAACGATTCGAATCTGCTTTTCTTACATCTGCTGCTACAAATAACAGTTAGATGAAATCAAAAAAGCAATTTCTGAGGAAACTTCCCATACTATTATACAATAGATTACTTTCCATACTAATATACAATGGTATGTGTATACATATTTGTAATATAATATCATCAGATAATAAAGATATCAACGAAGAAAACGCCGACAGACTTTTTAGAAAAAGCAGATATTTCCGGTTGAAATTTTGCATCCTTAGCGATATTCAGTCTAAATTTTAAATTAAAAAAATTACTGCATGTTTCGGATATTTTTATCGCCCAAATTTTTTTTTTGTAAAAGATTATATCGAGGAAATTAATGTGCATGAGGCATTACACAATTGAACTGGTAGATTAGTGGTCATAGTGTCATCAAGAACTCATTTCAACAATATTGGGATATGGTATAGGATATGCGTTGTAAAATAATGAATACCTAAGTAAGGGACTTATTTCTGGATAGTGGATTTGAATTGAAAGACCTCGAAAATCTAGAAACAAATGAACATCACCAATAATCACAATCATGCAATTGTAGAATCTACATATGTATGTGTATAGTATTAGACATAGTACGTATTTACTTAGTATATGCATATAGTAATATATTAGTATTATTTAATCATAAAAGCATGTTTCCATATACATACATATGTGTATGAGAATTATTTTACCATAAAAACATGTTTCTCCTTAAATACATTGATTAGCTGAATTGACAAACTTAAATGCGGTCAAATGTACATTTTAGGAAAATTAAATGACAAAAACATAGTACATTCCGACAATTGCAATTGAAATTCAGTTACAAAATATTGTGCTGCGTTGCAAAAGCAACAGGAGATACATATGTACATACATTCGTAAATACATACATATATAACATCCGTAGCCAAACTGGAGCGATGGCATTTCGGTTTGATGGTTTGTCATTATCTCCAGGTTTTTCTTAATTTTATAAAATAACATAATCCGCATATTTTTATTTGCAGTGCGTTAAAAAAATAACGTTTTCTTTTGCGCGATCAATTCGCAGTCAGTTTTTTTTCGATCTTCTTAATGTAAATGGCACGGTGTCCATGAAACAAGAAAAATTTGTGCACAGTATTAGAAAAGTTTTAAAGCAGTCTTAGCCTATCAAATGAAGCGTACTAAAAGTCCCAAATGGACTATTAAAATAACTGAAAAGTATTTAAATACGAGTTGTACATTGGTAAAGAGTTGGTTTAACCATTATGGAGAAACTGGAAACATAGATGACAGGCCAGGAATATGGGGCGAATCACGTGACATCTAAAAGTGAGGGCAAATCTATTGTTCTCGTTTTTGAGAAGAAGCCACTGGCTTAGAGGAGCTAAAATAATTTTGTTTTAAAAAAGATTAGATATATCTCAAAATACAACAGTCTTCAGAGATCTGACATCAAACGCAGCAGTACTCTAATCAATTACATAGAAAATAGGTTGCATTAGGCACAGGAAAACATCAACCGTGATTGGAACAATGTATTACTTACAAATGAGTCAACTTTTCTATTGCTCAATCCCTTGAGACGTGTTTGGCTTAGAAAAGCACAAACATTTATTAAAGGAGTGTTAAGCGCCTCCAAAAGTTGCATTTTTATGGATGCTTCTCTGATCATGAATTTGGGGATTTGAAGGGCTTCACAGAAAACTTGAACGCCGTTTGAATGATTAAATTGTTTAAATAGGGTTTACTGCAGCCAGCTAAAATGCTTTACGGCAAAAATAACCATGATTGGAAACTGCAAGAATATCAAGAAAAGATTTCATTTGGCTATTCCAACATACCTGGAGGTCGCTTCCCGTGGAGTATGCGGAAAATTTAGTTGCCATCAAAGATGTCAGGTTATAATAGGCAGCGCGGAAGATTTTATACGAGTATTTTGTAAATGTCAGCTATAAGAAAACTATGCATTTTTCATATTGTAATTACAACATTTTTCCCAATAAACGATACACACTTCGAAAAGCGAAAGGTTATTTTTTGAACGCACTGTTATTCGGCCCTTTACAAATTATTTCGAATATTTTTATTTGTTACATCAAAATTATGTACCTCTTATTGCTATCTTTTCTTTACATCAATTTTGGGTAATAGAGCGATAGATTCTCCTCGAATATTTGGCTTGAGCTCATTAATAGAAAGTCAAACCTGAAGATCAGCGTGACAATGTCAATGCCTATGACATTAGACGTCCATAAAATGTTTGATGCTTAAACTGAATAGTGAGACCAGACCCGCATACTTTATGAAGCCAGTAACTTAATCATCATCCATTAATATAGAAGTCGATTTCCATTGACTATTTTTACATCCATATTTACTTATGATGCTATGTACATACATCCACACTAATACACTAATTATACTATCGTTATGACAATTGTTTTAACGGACTTTTCGAGGCAGTTCGTAGAATAAGCTAACACATACCATACAAAGCAAAGAAATATTCCTTTATTTCATAAGAAACGCGAAATGATCGTACATGTAAGAACATGAATAAACACTCATAAAAAAGTTTAGGAACAAATTGTGAGTAAGTTGTTTTTTTTATTTCTTTACTCTATTCGGCTTATTACACATAATTATTTATTTATTTATTTAAACGCCAATCGGCAATATACTTACATAGATATATATATAAAAGTATTATACAAAAGTAGCTAGGGTATATTAGTATAATATCTGGAAAATATTTAAGTAATTGTAAGTTAATATGTAATTCAGACTTGATTTAGATGTAATTCAGACGAGCAGGTGTCTCTTGGTGTTTTCGGTAAAAGCAGCGTATGTTCCTCCATAGAAATCAATTTCACCTTGAAGTGAATTTACTAAATTAGCCAGTCTATTCTGAGGACCATGGATAACATAACTTTTCTTGGATTTCGATGTTTTTAGTAATCTATTTCGCCTCAGGGTAAGACCAGCAGGGGCGAGTTCAAATCTGTTTAGGATCTCATGAGCATCAGTGATGTTATTGACTACTTTGTAGAAAAAGCAGAGGTCAGCGACAGACAGTGCGAGAAGACAGTTTGTTTATACAGTAGCACTGGTAGACCTCATCAGTAGAGCAGATGTGACTTGGTGAAGATAGTTTATAGGCCAGTGACTTACAGAATTTACGCTGCACCTTTTCAACTTTATCGATTGTCGTGTTAGTGTAGGGAGACCAGATTACCGAACCATATTCCAAAATTGGTAGTACAAGTGACTTGAATAGTCTAATGAGTGTCCAAGGGTTTTTGAAATCTTTACCACTCCTCAGTATAAATCCAAGGGCTTTGAACGCCTTTGATGTAATTTTGTCTGCGTGGTGTGAGAAGGTGAGCTTATTATCAACAATGATACCTAAGTCTTTTATGTTCTCGACCTCAGCTGTCTCAAGCCCATCAAGTTTGTAGCTCGTGCGGATCGGTGAGTGTGAGCGAGCGAAAGATACGGCCGCACATTTGTTTACGTTGAGATCCAGCTTGTTCACTCGACACCAGTCACTGAGGGTATTTATGTCTTGTTGCAAGATTATGAATAAGTAATCGGTCTAAATATTTTGAGGTCATCAGCATACAGAAGGAAATCAGAAGCAAAGTTATTACCAATGTCGTTGACGAAAATGTTAAACAGTGCAGGACCAAGGTGAGATCCTTGTGGCACACCAGAGATTACTTCATATTCACTGGATAAGTGGCCATCTACTCTGACTTGCAAGCGTCTGTCTATGAGGTATGTACGTATCCAAGCTAATGCACGTCCAGCCACACCATATTTACTTAGCTTATCTAAAAGTATTTCGTAGTCAACACGGTCGAAAGCCTTGCTGAAGTCTGTGTAAATGCTGTGCTGCTGTGTTGGTAGTGGTGGATCTGCCACCAGTAAAGCCATGTTGTTTGGTTGTTATAATGTTTTCAAATGCCTGACGTATCTGTGGAAGCACTAACCTCTCAAATAGTTTTGCAAGTGCAGACTGTATGCAGATAGGACGGTAGTTGGTAACCAAGGTATTGGGCCCCTCTTTATGAATCGGTGAGATGTATGACAGTTTCCAGTAGGTCGGGAAGGTACCATGGTGAAGAGATTCGCCAAATATATGTGTCAAAGGCTCGCATAGGCCTACCGCACAGTTTTTGATGAATATGTTAGGCAAACCATCGGGGCCTGCACCTCTGCTGGGGTCGAGAGCAAGGAGTTCTTTGAGTACTGCATCGTAGGTCACTGTCAGGGCATCCAAGTGTGTGCGCTGTGTACCAGGATTGAAGGTTGCAATACTTGGGTCGTTGCTATTCGATGGCGCGTAGATGCTGTGGAAGAAGGACGCAAAGAGGTTACTGATACCTGGTCCCGTATCTGCTGAGCGGTCACTCCAGGCTACGGAAGATGGTATGTCACCGGTGCAACGGTTTTTGTCCTTGATAAAATTCCAGAATGCTTTGATCTCCGAATGCAGTTTGTCCTCTACCTTGTCGACATAAATTTTGTAGCATTCGATATTTAACTTTTTGCATTTAAATCT